ACTGTGCCATTTAAAGTGTCACCAGCATTTCCACTCCAATGTTTTTGTGCATTTCTAGCATCCTGGGAGTCAGCCTTTAGCCATTTTAAGTTGCATGTCTCAGTGATCCATGTTATCTTTTTAAGTACTACTACTAATTGTGCTTGTTAGCGCTCTGGTTACAATGTTGCATATACATTTTTAGTGGTCTCTTCCTAACCCTATTTATTTTATAAGCCCCATTGTTTTCGTTCTTGTTGTAGTTTTTTGTTTGTTTGTTTGTTTTTCGGTACGCGAAAACAGTTCCTCCCCACTTCTACCTTCACCACCACAAGGAGCAACCACTGATCTGATTTCTATCACTGGTGGGTTAGTTTAGGCTGTTCTAGAATTGAGTTATACAGTATATACTTTTGTGTGTGTGTGTTTCCTTGAGCGTAGTACTTATCTATGTTGTATTTATCAATGGGATGCCCTTTTCATGGTTGAGCCACATTTCTTTGTAAGAACATTCCACAATTTGATTATCTTTTCTCCTATTATTGGACATCTAAATGATTGGGTTGGCCAAGATGATTTTCCATAATCTTATGGAAAAACCCGAACGAACTTTTTTGGCCAACCTAATATTTACAGTTTTGGGTTGTTAGGGAGAAAGCTGCTATGAACATCTGTGTATAGGTCTGTGTGTGGACCTGTGTTTTTGTTTAACCTAGGATAAATATCTAGGAGCAGAGATATTAGATCATAGTAGAGCTGTAATTCTAACTTTTTAAGAAACTGCAAGCGGTTTTCCATAGAGTCTGTAGCATTTCACACTCCTAGCAGCAATGTGTGGGAGTTTCAGGTATCCACAACCCCAGCATTTGGTGATGTCAGTCTTTTTCATTTTCTCTACACGACGGAGTATCTCACTGTGATTTTAATTTGTTGGGCTGATTAGCCATTGTATATCTTCTTTGTGAAGTATCTAAGTCTTCTGCCCTTTTTCAAATTAGGTCACTTGTCCTTTTGTTACTGAGTTGTAGGATTTCTTTTCTTTATATATTTTGGCTACAAGAACTTTGACAGATACGTGTGTTGTGAATTATTTTCTTCTAGTCTATGGATTTCAATGAACTTTAATATTTGTAATGCACAATGCTATAGAACATTGAGTAACACGTTATATTACAGTGTTATGAAGCCCATAATCCATAAACGTCAACGCTTATTGATACCTAACATTATTACAGCTCAATATCATGGTTTTGATTTTCAGCAGCCAATTAATCGCAGGGCCTTTGCCTGAAAGCTTTAGTGCATAGTCATTTAGAAAGTTGTTTTATCTCAGCTTCCTTCAAAGAAAATGTATCCAAGACGACTGTTCTCATCCTACGTCACAGATGGCAACAGCAGGGGAAACAGTGGCCATTGTTTTAGTTGCTTCCATGTGAAACCTAAATGCCGTAGAGACATGGCAGGTCCAACTCCAAACACATAAAGAAGAATGCAGAGGTACATGCAAATTAACGTCATAAGCCAGCTTGTTTCGCCTTATGAAACATATGAAAATAGTTGCTACCCATTGCACAAAACATCTGTTGAAATGAGGTTTACAACTTGGAACTTGTTTTGAGATGGACTATTTCTAAAAATCAAGATTGCCTGGTGGGAAAGCAGATGGGCAATTTAGACAGTCTTATACTAACTCATTATTTCTTCTGAACACAAGCTTAATTTGGAAATTCAAAGACAGTGTTTTGAGATACACAACTTCAGAAGCATAATGTTGGCCACTTCTGAAAACTTTGATTGCTGTTGCTCAGATATAGGTCAGGAGGAGGACAGAGCCTTACTTCTTAATACAGTTAACACAGAGAATTTTTAAAAACTGAATCTTTACTAGAGTTCTAAGTATTAAGAGTTTAATTTTTCTTAACTTACATATGTTGGAAATAGTTTAAAAATATATTTTCCTCCTTGTGGGCCTCATAAACACTGTCAAGCTTAATTGGGAAATGTTATTTTTACAAAAAAATATTCTTACAAAATAAATTTCACATGGGTAATTTTCCACATAATTGAAGCTTTTCAAGCTCTTTATCCCTGAAAAATATTTATAATTAGATTCTGTAATTTCCACATGTATTAGCATTATTTTCATGGCGCAGAATTTCTTCAGGCTACTGAGATATAAAACGGTTGGTCTTTAAAATAAGAAGCACCAGATTTCTATGTGTTTTGGACACCAGAGTATCTGCTGTTAATTTTCCTGGCTGTTAGTGGGTTTTTTTTTTTAAGTGGCAGCTATTAATACACCTCCATCTAACAGAGCTTCGTACCCTCATTTAATTTTTGTTTTTAATCATCTGTGGGCTGAGAAAACAGTCAAGCTTGCGAGAATTATGTATAAATTCAGAGCCCACTGTCTGAGTGAACCGTGAGGATCTGCCACATGGATAAAGGGCACGGATATAAACATCTATTTTGGTTGTTCCAAAGATTTCAGCCTATTTTCTGGTTCTTGGCTATCTTTCAAAGGGTATAGATTGTCAAATAAGTAATATGTGGCTATTTAACTTAAGAAGTTAAATAGGTATTTTTATCACTTTCATTATTCCAGAGAGGACAATTTGGAAGTTACTGGGAAGCAGATTTCAGTTAAGTAGAGAGACACATATTTTTAATTTCACAAAAGAGTATAGTGAACGGAGCGTTGTCCTATGAGCCTGATCTCGGCTCCACGAATAACCATTTATCCACTTAAATCTTCTGGATATCAGTGTCTTCATGATCCCAGACCTACTTGTAGGAATCTGGGCTTCTATGGCTCCATTTCCAGGGCTTCCATTGCTTGTAGCTCAAGCAGAGGCTTACTGAAGAGACAATTTCCCCATGGGTAGGAGGTTGGACCGAGTGACCTCTGAGGTGTATTCCCTTTTTAGCATGAATAATTCTGTGACTCACTTCTAGAAGATAATTCACTTGCATCTATCAAGGTTAATTTTAAATACTCAAGGGCAATAATGGTTTAGTTGCTCCTACCTGTTTTATTTCTGCTTTCCCAGTTTCACGAGTCATGAGTTGAGAACGTCATTCTCAGAAGCCGTTGTTTTCTCTTTCCTTTCCTCAGGCCTCAAATTGAAAGCTGTTAAAAGTTTATGAAATGGGACTTCCCTGGCGGTCCAGTGGTTAAGACTTCATCTGCCAGTGCAGGGGGTTCGGGTTCGATCCCTGGTCGGGGAGCTAAGATCCCACATGCCTCGGGGCCAAAAAACCAAAACAGAAGCAATATTGTAACAAATTCAATAAAGACTTTAAAAATGGTCCACATCAAAGAATCTTTCCACATCAAAAAATCTTTAGGAAAAAAAGTTTACAAAATGAACTAAGGGAAAAGGGGGTTACGAATTGTCATATTAATCTGGTTATAAATTCTCTTTATAGCAACAATTGAGTCACTAAGAAAGAAGTTAATTAAAGGACAACTCCATGGCTTGCTGTTTCAGGTAAAAAGCAAACAAAAAGACCCAAACCTCTGTGATATGTGTTTACTGTGGGCAAGTTGTCCAGTTGGTGTTAAGATTTTGAAGCTAAGTTATAATATATAATAATTTTAGCCATAAAATTAAATAATCAAGTTAGAAAAGATGCTCTGGTAGACTTTGTTTTCTTATGCACTGAAAGCATTTAGCAAAACAGGAGAGGAGAATGCACATTAGTGCGTGGCTCCTAATAACATCTTTCAGAGAGGAAGCATTTCAGAACTGTATCTGTTAGCAAAGGGCCAGTCTGCTAGTCTTAGGCACCTCCTTTCTGAGACTCTTGAGTGGGCTTTGATGGTTGCTGTCTCTTTTCTCTCCTAGTTGAATTAAACTTTCAACTCCTCTCTGTCTGGATATCTCAAGATATCCATGGTACAGTTAAATGTATTTCTTTCTCTTCTGACACTTGGTGAATTTCTCCTTTCTGTTCATAAATAAAGAACATAAGGAACAGCAAGGTTGGCACTGGAGGGAAGGGGCTGGAGGAGGAAAGAGAAAAGGGTGATATTTGCATGTATCTGTTTCTAGGGCATAATGCAGGCACATCTGTTTAAGGAGAAAAAAAAAATTCATGTAGGAGATTAAGCTAGGCAGAGTGCCTAAAAATCCCCTTACAATAAGTTGAACTGGAAAAATCTCCATAATCATCTCAAGAACACCAATTTTCTATTACAATGTAACTGATAGACATGTATCTACCTCTTGGACAAAAGTCGCAATTTTATTGCTGTAGAAATTTCACAGACAGCATTTTCACTCTCTGAGTTATGTCTCCAACAAGCTTCTTTGGTCTCTGCTTGAAGATTTCAGTGACAAAGCCATTCAGTTTCCTGTTCCTGATCTTTGGATTTCATTCCTAGAACAAGTAATGGGGAAAATGCAGTGAGAGGTTTACCATTACAAACTTGTTCCCTTAATGAAAAATACAAGATAAAGAACTAGTCCATTTTCTCCTTCTCAGGTAGCATCACATCTTAAATCTAATGTATTTTGTATCTGTCACTCTCCCATCATTCTGTCTTTGAATGCACTCCACCATTTTTCTTATGACAGAGCTGTTTAGATGAGGAATTTCCTCACTACGATCCCTTGTCCTGCACGGATAGAATTCATCAACCTCTCCAGGAACAGTTGGTGAGTTTAAGCTTTTTGAAACTATTTAACTGCCAATTGTGAATCTCCTATTATGCCAAAATAGAAAGTTAAGTCCAATGTGTATTAGAAAGTTAGAATTCTAAGCTATACTGATTTTCTTGAGAGGGTATCAGACAAAGCAAGATACCTATTTTTTTCTTTATCATGTGCACACACACAATTTTGATAGGCCCTAGGAAATGGTACTATTTAAAACTTTTTGATTACGGTATCATGAAGAAGAATTATATAACTAAACTTGCCCCTCACTCATATTTCTTTCCTCAAAGCCTTTGTTTATATGAAAGTGTTGATTATTGGGAATTGATGTTATCTTTCTGTTAAATTATTGAAGAGTGATTTTTAACAAGAATTACATTTTTACTGATAAGCTACGTCCCTTTTGATCCAAAGCATGAAAACTTTGTTACTTGATGTCATTTATTTTCTTCTCAAACTCTCTTGCGGGAGAACAGTGATATTCTTTCTAATTTTGGAGATGAAGAGAGATTATGAAATATATTACAGCCCTTTGGAAAGCTAATAGTACTTGATATTCTGTTCAGAAGCAGTGTTGCCATAAACGATATAGTGGTCAAGAAGCAAGAATACATCAGCTACCCCTGACCTTCAGACGTACATGCTGGTACACACCTCTGCTGGGTAAGCGTGGATAGACCCTGTCCTATACCCTGTCAGACACAGCTGGGGGTGGGGTTCTTCTTGAGAGGGAAAATAATTAATCACAATTATATAGCAAATGTTGAAAACTTAGACGTTTATCCCTGAATTCAGTCAGTCAACTTATATTTGACCACCTACTCTGTGCAAGGCACTATTTTATGTTTACTAGAAAGTGAGTACTAAGGTAGCTCACAGACTATTAAGGAAGTAAGACCTGGGTTCAGAGAAGGCTCTGTAGAAGAAATTGAGTGTTGAACCAGGCATGGAAAGACGGGCTGCATTTGGAAAAGCAAAAAGCTTGGAAAAAGTATTCCAACTGGGGAGAATGACATGAGGGGGGAAAAAAATGCAAAAGTTTTAAGTGTTTGGAGAAGAGTCCATGCTGGATAAGTCACTGTGGAGATAAGAGGGCTTGGGTCAGGATGGAGTAGAATTTCAGTTTGGAGCATGTTGTAGGTCACCTCATGGACTATTAATGCCAGTCTAAGGAGAATGAACTTTATCTTAGGAAACGCTGAAAGTGGTGGTTTCTCTCATCACAACCTGGATGTGCTTGAAAGCAAAAGTTAATGGTTGGTTCTGAAATGACAAAAGAAATGGGATGATTATCAAAATAAATTTAAGAAGGAATAAGAAGCAAGTAGAGTGACTTGTAGATCATTTCAACCAGAAGAGAGAAAACTGCTACCACTACTAACAAGTGGCCAGTTTGTGTCAGACAGTAGATAAGTGCTTTACAGAGACGATTTTACCCACACTAACTCAGTGATGGTAACGATACTATGGCAGCACTGAAAGAGTGCCCGCTATGTGCCAGGAACAGTTCTCTGCTCTCAGAACTGTATGTTCACGTACCTGCTAATAATTCATTTAATCCTCACCATATCCCTGTGAGGTAGATGCTAATGTAATTCACATTTTAAAGATAAGGAAGCAGGAACACTGAGTAATTTGCAGACCTGTATGTTCATGTACCTGTTAATTCATTTAATCCTCACCATATCCCTGTGAGGTAGATGCTAATGTAATTCACATTTTAAAGATAAGTTAGCAGGAACACTGAATAATTTGCCTAAGGTCATGTGGCACTTAAAAAAATTTTTCTTTATTTATTTTTGGCTGCATTGGGTCTTAGTCGTGGCAAGCAGGATCTTTCGTTGCAGCGCACGGGCACTTCATTTTGGCACGTGGACTTCCCTTTAGTTGTGGCGCGTGGGCTCAGTAGTTGCAGCTCACGGGCTTAGTTGCCCTGAGGCATGTGGGATCTTTGTTCCCCAAGTAGGGATCAAACCCGAGTCCCCTGCATTGGAAGGTGGATTCTTAACCACTGGACCACCAGGGAAGTCCCCATGTGGCACTTTATATGTAAGTAAACTGAGGCTGAGTTGGTTTAGTTATTTATCCGAGATCACACGCCTGGTTTATGTGTCAGGGTCAGGATTTGAACTAAAAATTGTGATTAATTTCAAAGCCTATGTTTTTTCTATTAAATTCTGCTGCTTCCTATACTCAGAAAAATGTGACAAGACAGTTTCCTCAAAAAAAGAAAAATTGTCACCCTATTTCCTGCACTCTTCAGTGGTTTACAATTACAATGTCGAACTGTTTTTCTCTTTAGGAGTTGATAAACTGTTTCTGTAAAGGGCCGGATAGTAAATATTTGAGGTTTTGCAGGCTGTACGGTTTCTGCTGCAACTATTCAGCTTTGCTGTTGTAGCCCACAAGCAACCTTGGATGATACTGAATGAATGGGTGTGTCTGTGTTCCAATAAAACTTTATTTACAAAAACAGGAGGCTGGCTGGATTTTGCCCCCTGGTAGCAGATTGTTATTGACCCCTCTAGTTGCTTACTAGGTAAGGGTTTCTGTTTCTCCTCCTTCACCCCTACCACCTGCTTAAAAAAATAACTGACATTTCTACCCCTCATAACTAGGCATCAAAATTTAGGGGGTGGGGGGTTGTAATGTTAAAATGTTAATTGAATAGATAAAGAAGATATGGTACATATATACAATGGAATATTACTCAGCCATAAAAAGGAACGAAATTGGGTCATTTGTTGAGACGTGGATGGAGCTAGAGACTGTCATACAGAGTGAAGTAAGTCAGAAAGAGAAAAACAAATATCGTATGTTAACGCATATATGTGGAACCTAGAAAAATGGTACAGATGAACCAGTTTGCAGGGCAGAAATTGAGACACAGATGTAGAGAACAAACGTATGGACAGCAAGGGGGAAAAGTGGTGGGGGATGGTGGTGGTGTGATGAATTGGGCGATTGAGATTGACATGTATACGCTGATGTGTATAAAATGGATGACTAATAAGAACCTGCTGTATAAAAAAATAAATAAAATAAAATTCAAAAATTCAAAAAAAAATGTTAATTGAATTGAACTGACTTTTGTTTTTTCAGAAATGGTCTAATCTCCCAAGAGGAAAAGAAATAGTATATATATATAATTTGAACCATTAATTTCTGTATTTATTCTTTTCTGTTCTACTGCAGATGCCTTGTATCTGGATAGTCTTACAGCAATTCCAAGACTAGAATTGACACCTTTCTCATGTGTAGCCAACCGAATCCATGCTTCACGTGAAAGGCCCAAATATGGAGAAGTAGAGGAAGGTGCTTTGGATGTGACTGGAAGGCACAAGTAAGTTCATAGGGCAAAATACACTTGGCCTACTTTTCGTGGGTGGCCTATTCCTATTGCCTAAACTTTTAATCAGTAAAAGTTTCATATCTTGACATCACGACATCTTTATTGTGGAATTTTTATTGTGTAACTTCTCTAACTTTCTGAAAATTGACAATTTTAAAACAAAGATACCTTTATAGTTTTCTCTATAGCTCTTTTGAATTTCATGATATCCATTCTTAAAGTGTAAAAGACAAATTAAGCTACTTAAAATGTTTCCCAGTTTTTAGGAATATACTACGTACTGCTAGGTTAACTCATTCAGCTAGGTTTAGATCATCTTTCTATTCCTTCACACTCCAGGTGAACAAGTCTTTGGGACTCTATCCCTGTGCTCGCACATACCCTCTCCCAAAGCTCATCTGAGCTCACTCACCTTTCTAAGTACACAGACATTTCTTCCTTAGGAAAAGTTCAGAAATGTCAGTGGAGTTTGTGAGCACTGTTCACCCCAATGAAATTTCCTTTCTGTATCGAGGGTCAGGAAGCAAGACTCTGAATTGCAAATACTTCATTTTCATTTGGGACTAGATTCTCTATGGTTATAACCTCTCTCGCTGATGGAGCTTAGAGCTCTCTTTCATCATGTCTCCGTTAAGACATGAACTTAATTAGAAATTCGGTAAAATTGGGGCAGGGAAGGGGAACTATGTGATAGATTGGTATCTGCTGAAATTTGCAGTTATTCCACCTGTATTAAGGAACTTTACTGTCTATTATTAGGTGTCCAGGCCCTACAGGTGGTCCCCACCCAGGAACAGATCTTTCAGGTTGCATCAGGATGAATAATGACCCAAGTATGGAAGTGAGTATTGGACTATATTTCAACTTCATTTTTAGCTCTACCATATCCTGACCCTCTTCTATGGTGTTGTTTTGTTTTGTTTAAGTATTATAGAGACGCTTATGGCAAGTACAAGTCTTATACCACAGAATTCAGATGCATGAGAAATGTCAACCTTTGATGGCATCTGGGGGGATTTCTACCCCTTCTATAGTATAAACTCAAGGATATATAACCAAATGGAGATTTTGATGAAGTGTGCTGAACTTTTTGAAAGGCAGGCTGGTTTGGGACTTAAATTCACTACTGGCTATCAGGAGTCTCAGGTCTCATTGACTCTCTCGAGGTAAAGGCTAGATAATCTTTGAGGTGCTGGTACTTTGCTGTACAGAGTAAGGCAAAGCCCAAGGAGTACCCATTGCTGCAGTTAGATGCTAATTGTACTTCTCTACCCAAGAAGAGAATACTGAGTAGCTGAGGGCACTTAGGCAAACACCCCAGGTCGTGGAGATGTGCCTGGAGCACTTTCCTTGGTCAGCAGTCTGAGCCTGAGGGAACGTGATCTTCTCAGTCAAATGGAGCAGACCATTCTGTTCCAGAATCTGGAAATCCATCACTCTTCCTTTTTTAAAAAAAGGTTTATTGGGCTTCCCTAGTGGCGCAGTGGTTGAGAGTCCGCCTGCCGTTGCAGGGGACACGGGTTTGTGCCCCGGTCCGGGAAGATCCCACATGCCGTGGAGCGGCTGGGCCCGTGAGCCATGGCCGCTGAGCCTGCGTGTCCGGAGCCTGTGCTCCGCAACGGGAGAGACCACAACAGTGAGAGGCCCGCGTATCGCAAAAATAAAATAAAATAAAATAAAAAAGGTTTATTGTGATATAATTCTCCTACCAAACAATTCATCAATTTAAATTGTTCAATTAAACGTTTTTTAAAATATTCAGAGTTGTGCAGCCATCACCACAATCAGCTTTAGGACATTTTGATCCCCTTCGAAAGAAACCTCACACCTACTAGCAGTCTAGCCCTATCCGCCACCCCACTCCACCCTGGGCAGCCACTAATCTGCCTTCTGCCTCTATAGACCGGCCTATCCTGGATGTCTCATATAAATGGAATAAGACAATACGGACCTCTTGTGACTGGCTCCTTTTCTTAATATAATGTTTTCAAGGTTCATCTGTGTTGTAGCCTGTTATCAGTGCCTCATTCCTCTTTGTGACTGGATCATACTCCAGTGTATGAATATACCACCTTTTGTTTATCCATTCACCACCGATAAGCACTTGGGTTGTTTCTGCTTTTTGGCTACCATGAATAATGCCCCTAAGAACATTAGTGTAAAACATTTTGTGTAAACATATGTTTTCAGTTCTTTGGGGTATATATTTAGGAGTAGAATTATTGCATCGTATGGTCACTCTATGTTTACCACTTTGAGGAACTGCAAAACAGATTTTCAAAGCAGCTACACCATTTTACATTCCCACCAGTAATGTATGAGGATTTCATTTTCTCTACATCCTTGTCAACACTTGTCTATCTTTTTCTTAATTAAATTAAATTTGATTTTTTAATTTCTATTTTATATTGGAGCATAGTTGATTAACAATGTGTTAGTTTCAGGTGTACAGCAAAGTGATTCAGTTATATATATACATGTATCTATTATTTTTTGTCTATCTTTTTGGTTATAGGCATCTTAGTGGATGTAAAGTGGTATCTTGTGGTTTTGATATGCATTTCCTTAATGACAAATGATGTTGAGCATTTTTCATGCACTCATTGGCCATGTGTATATCTTCTTTAGAGATATGTCTACCCAGATCTTTTGTCCATTTTAAAAAATGAGTTTTTAAAAAAAATGATTTATATGAGTTGTTCTTATTCTTTTAAGTGTATGTATCTCACATTTTTCCATTCCTTAGTACCCCATCCTATTGAATAGCTGAGAAAAGGAAAGAAAAAGGAAATGAATCTATTTTGCTATTCCTTAGCAGTTCTTGTAAAGTTTTAATAAAGGAAGTTGAACTTGGAAGCTTACAGGATGTTTGGTTGTTAGTAATTTCCCTTTTATCTGGTACTGATTTCACCAAGAAAGGGGAAGGAACCAACATCAGTTGTGTACCAGGTACTTTGTAGGAAAACATTTCCACGTGCCATGTTATTAATTCTCTCTACAACTTTGAATGGTAAGTATTCTCTGCTTCTACAGATGAGGCAACTGAAGTTCAGAGAGGTTAAATAACTTAACCAGGATCACTCAGCTAGTAAGTAGCAAACCTGGGATTCAAATTCAAGTTTGTATAGCTTCAAAGATTAATCCCTTCTTACAACTCCTCTGAGAACACTGAATTTAGACGTTTCAATCATAATAACTACTCCTAGTTACCTTGAAAGTAGTTTTTTGGCTAAGAAATAAATTTGCTCCCTTTTGTATCTAAAAGGAGCTCCTAATCCACTCTCATTAGGATATGTGACCGAATTATTTTGTCTCCACACCCATGAAGTAGAGCGAACAGAGATCACAAGACAAACTCCTGTTAAATGCTCCTGCAGAAATGTATAGATTCCCTGAAGGTTTTCCTGCTGCCTCCGTGCCATTTCTTCCATAGGCCCCAGGAACTAATCTGTCAGCTGCACTCCATGGCTGTTCCCACCAATGTCCACCGTTTCCCTTTTCCTCTGCTCCACTGAGGAATCAGGGCAGCCTGTTGACTCCCTCATGCCTGTCCCTTGAGTAAATCCCCACCTTCTACCCCTTCATGCCCCCCACCCATCTCTTAAACAAATAGAACTCTCTCCTTAGATAATGCTTATCTATGCATTCTCATTCATAAGAATTAGGATGAAACATGAAATTAAAATTACAAAGCATATAATCCGTGTTTGTCCCAGCGACCCATAAATCGTTGTGTTTTCCTAACTCTTTGGCTTCAAACTCTTGGAATTTCATCACTCTTGAGGGCCTTCAAAACAAACAACTTGCCCTGGTATTCAAGCTCTTCTCTAATCTGGTTGCAACCTACCTTTCCATCCTTTCCCCATCCATGCCTTATAATTGTCCCTAAATGTCAGCCAAACCAGGTGGTCTGTATCGTTGGAATATGTGACACAAAGCTGTTTATGCTGTTTTCTCTGCCCAGAACACTTCCACTTCTCCACTTGTCAAATTCTATTTGACTATCAAGGCCCATTCCAAAAACCAAGTGTTCCATAAAACCTTTTGTGGTAGTGAGAAATGTTTACCATCAAGCATCTCTAGTCCTTCTTGAGATGGAAATCGTAATGGATTAGAAGTCAAGAAGTGAGGGTTTTCCCTGGTTCGACCTCTCTGCTACTATGGAAAAGTCTTGTCATTCAGGCCTCATTTTCCTCATTTCTCAACCGTAGCACTCAGGAAAAAAATAAGTTCACTCTTTTCTTTTAGACCCCAGTAACTCTGTGCTCCTCTCGTCTATATTTTGGTTACATTGTAGTTCTTTGTTTTCTTAACATGTTCCTGTATCAGATTATAAACTTGGTGTAGAGTGCCTTTGGCCATTAACCATTGTGCATCTAGCAGCCTGAATAGATTTGGTATGCAGTAGCTGCTCTATTAATATTTGTTGAATGCCTATTGACTTATTTATTTTTGTACTCCCTACAGGCTCTATTTAAAACATTGAGTGAGCACCCAGTGGACTTGTTGAATTGACAGTCTCGCCCTCTTGCTTTCTGTCTGGTGTTCCTGAGAACCTTAGATTTATTTTTTTAATTCCTCTCCCATTTTCATAGAGGAGGCTATATTCTAGCATCTTTTTCAGAAAGCACAATAGGAGATAAGAGTGAACATCAGTATTCATAAGGGGATCTTTGGGTGACCAAAGGACTCTAGCAAGACTAATACCTCAAAAAGAACGTGTCTTAGTAAAATAATTTGGGGTCCAGTTTGGGACATTCCTGGGGAGAACAGAACTACTTTAATGACCCAGTGAAATCTATTTATTTGGGATATTTTAGCATAAAGAGGAAGAAAGGAAATAAATTATTTCCAGTCCTCATCTTTTAGAGACTCAGACTAAAATATTTATGAAAGAAATGTCTATGGTATCTGGGATATGCTTTAAAACAATGCTAAGGTAGGTTTAGTGGGTGACGGTATAGATGAAAGGAGATGGGCCATAGGTTGTTAATTGTTGAACCTGCAGAATGGGTACACAAAGGGTAATTATTCTATCCTGTCTACTTTTGTATTTATTTGAAATATTTCCCAGTCATGACCTAGAATTTTTAGCCACATAGCATAGGCTTTGGAATTAAGCAGTTGTGGGTTTAAGCTGACTCTGTTACTTATTAGCTGTGTGAACTCGGACAAGTGGCCTAACCTCTTTCAGTTTGTGTGTGTTCCCTTGTGAAACAGAGATATTACTTTGCAGAGTCCTTTTCAGGATTCAAATACACACATACACATATACATATATTATGCATATACATATACCCATATATCTCTGCAACAGCTGAATTCTGGCCTAACCAGTCCAGGGAAACAAACCAAGTAGGTCATATTTAGAGGAGAGACAAATCTCAGTGCTCTGTCTCCCCACTTACTGATGAATAGGAAGGCCTTTTTGATTCATGGGGTCCCTTCTCAGCATTTCCAAGAACCTCTATACTGGTGCCTACCAGTATATCCCAGTGTCCTTCTGATCTCACCAACTTGTGGGTCCCAGGGAAGGACACTTCACCTCCTGAGAGATCGCTGGAGAAGGTAGTTGGTTTCACATCTCTGCAGTCCTTTCTGTTTGTTGCCCACACTGTCCATAGTCCCTGCCTGCTCCACGGTCGACCTCCTTGGAACGCTGTGTCTGGACCTTTGGTGATCTCCTCTTCCTGGTCGGTTGGGAGATGACTCTCACTTCTTGTTTCAGCACCTTCAGAGCTGGGTACTACTGTGGTGTTGGGTGGACTCCTTGTGATGCAGTTAAAATTATCCTCTACTTTTCAAGGAAAGTATATAATCCAGCAGGGCTGGCTAGTAGCACAGTCTCCCACTGAATCAGGGATTGCTGCTCCCTTCTATAGCTAGACCCAGCTGTTCATTTGGCCCAACTTTCTCAGTTCTTCCTCACTCTTGGCAATTTCTCTCTGGGGCTCAGTTGTCTCTCCTTATAATCTTTCCTTATTCACTGCTCCCACCATTGAGTCTGAAGAGCAACCAAAGGATTTCTGGGACTTTGCAAAACTGGACTTGTGATTAGGTACCTGTGTTTGTCCCCAAACACTCCAAGAATTAAGAAGCTTCATGAAAATTACATGACAATGAAACTGATTCTCCCCTCTACCTACTCCAACCTCAGATTTGACCCCAACAAGACACTTTATAACATATATAAAGTACCTGGTTCATAGTAAACACTCAGAAAATAGCAACTGTAACTATCACCCAGAATCAGAATTATAAGCAGTGTGAAGCTCAGAGGATACAGGTCAGAGGATAGGAAGATGAATTTCTGTTTTCTCTTTGGCTGTTTAAAAAAATCACATATACTAAATATTAAGTGCTTTGCCATCCCTTTGAGGTCTCCTTCATGTCATTACATGTTTTTGCCTAAGATATACTATCACTAGGAGAAGGTGATTTATGAGGCAAAGGACAGAATCAGTTTTAAAGTATCTCAGATTTTCTGGCCATTGTATGTCCTGTTCTCTCAAGCTGTGTGTGGGTGCAGCTTTAATAAACTTGGAGAATAAATAACATTGCCAGTTGCAAAACTGGGACATGTAGAAGTTGGCTTATAACTGTATTACAAATGAACCTCAAAGTGGTGGGAATGTCCTGTGGATCTGAAGGTGTGGTGTCCTTTTAGTTAGAAATTGCAAAAAAAACCCCAAAAAACTTGTGAAGGAATTTCGTTTTATTTAGGTTATAACAGTTGTAATCTTTTGATGTTTAATTTTACCTTCTTTTCTTTTTAGAATATTGAAACCAACTTCAAGTCAAGGGCATTTTTGTTTTTTTTAAGTTAGAATAAAATAAGTCTATATAGACTCCTTTTGTTCGGTTTTTCTTCTTTTCTCAGAAAATCATATTAGTTTATTTGAGCAACGTCAATTGTCTAAAATGGATCTAAAAGTAAAAATTACATCGGTAACATGAATGTTTATTAGTGGAAGGGTTTCTGATCATAAAAATCTAAGGATGAAATAGCACTTCATCTAGAAGAGTAACCCTGGGAGATTATCTAGGCCTGTTAATTGCCCTTACTAATACCTTAGAAGTTATTTCTTATTGTTCTTCATATTTTCTATCTAAATATTAAAATAATACTGCTGTGTGTGTGTGTGTGTGTGTGAGAGAGAGAGAGAGAGAGAGAGAGAGAGAGAGAATATGTGTGTATGCATCCTGCATTTGCTGATCTAGCCCGTGGGAGAATGTCTCGCTTTGTTCCATGAGTACCTTAACTACCCCACCCTACGTTAGACTTTTACTCTCAAAAGCAAATGGGCTGGACCACGGATTTTCATGTAAATGTTATGCAGGTTGATATTTGAATGGCTCAAACAGGAAGAACATGCTTCCTGCTCTATGCTGTCGGCATATGTTAGACTCATTGACTTGAGCCAATCTTCTACATGTAGGTAAGTCTCTCTTCTGAAATTTCTTTTTCTTGCTTTTAGTCAGTTTTTTGATTTTCCTTGGTTTTCAAATATATCCAGTAAATTATCTTTTTTATCATCTGCCCAGATCCTACAGTTGTTGTGTGTGTTAGGTTCTCCTGTGGGTTTAAATAGGGGTGCCTTTTGAAACTGGAAGAAAAGAGCACAATTGTAGAAAGTTTTTGCTGAGTTATTTTTCACCCCCCCTTCACAGGTACAGACACCCTGAGGGGCTATATCTTCAACTTTCATTAACTATAACCCTAAATTTGGAAGGAAAAAAATCTCCTTCTTTTATCTGCTGCTTCTTGTAAGGAGGAAAAAAATGTTAGACCAAATGTATGAAAAATTAAGATTGAGATATGTTGTATATTATGTTGTTTTCTGATTAGTGAGATTTATAAAGATTAATGAATTGGGAGTAATATCCAATAATATCCAATATCCTTGCAGCAGAACAATGTAGTAATGTACAGCTAAAAAATATATGCCATTTCTCGAAAATCACAGAATTGTTAGTTATTTAATCAATAAATATTTTATGTTTACCAAAAGGTTTCACATATAAAAAATAGGACAAAAGAAGGGCTTTACACAGACCATATGGCAAATGAGATTTATTTCTAGTATAATGAAAGCAAACTGTATTTTTGCTATATTTATTATTATTTTGACTTTAAATAATAAACTTTTTTTAAAAAACAAAGTTTACAGAAATAATGTGTTCCCTTTCCCCTAATACTGGAAATCAGTTTAATTGAATAGAAAATAACTGCATTCTCTTTCATACCTCTTAAATTCAAATACAGGTATTCATGACTCTGATTGGTATAAGAAGAAATATTTTTCTGACAAAATTAGCTTTTTAGTTACTGCAATATAGTTATTATATATAATATATATTATTAATTATAGCACAGTAATAAGTGTTTTTTCAAGCCACACATAATAACAGATTTGTATGTTATAGAGGGTTAAATGGGCCTGATTTTTTTATTATTAAGGAGTCAATCCTTGTTGACTTTTATGGAGGATACTTAATGAGACTGAAGAATGTTTAATTTTTTCATATTTTTATAGCTTCATTTCTTACATATATATTGGCAGATAGTTAAATAAGCATATACTAATTACTAGTACAATCTATTTAAATATCTTAAGGATAGAGCCAATATCATTTAACTACCTGTGAAGTATAAGGTATAATTTCTCTTCAAAATTTAATGCAAATATTACCCTACTCTGTTCTGTGCATGTTACTTTCCTCTGTGGAATGCTGCTTATAATTTACGAAGTATTTGTTTTACATATTTGTCTTTCTGACTGGCCTGTGAGCTCCTCTGGGACAAGGAATGTGTTTTTGGTCTCTCCAACCTTTCTGTTTTGTGCCAGAAACAGCCTTTCACTGTTTCTGGCACAAACTGGCCCTTTGATGAAAGTTGTTGACTTAAAATTAAACTGATGTCACAAGAGGCTTCAGTTACATATAATCTGACACAAAGACATTTAAAGCAGGGACAAAAATGAAATAAAAGAGAAGATTGCCCAACATTTATATGTAGGAGGATTAGGTGTAAATTCTTGCTGTGCAAGTTTGTGGAGTTTTCTAAACATTTGAGGGGAACATTTTAAAAGTTTATATTCAAATTATCTACCAGTCTAAGACAATCATTGTGAAGTCTGCCTCTCCAATAGCCTTAGGGTATTTCAGAGACAGTTCTGTTTACAATGAAGACAGTTCTGTTTACAATCAGACTGTATTTAGTCTGATTGTTTAGACTGTTTAGAGGCTGACACCACCATTCTGAATACTCCCGAGAAATTACTTTATTCATTGGTTTTACTTTCCTTACCTGAAATAAGTAAATCTTTTTTTTTTTTCGTAAAACCCACTGCATAAGGTTGTTGGGAGAATTAAATGAGATGATACGTAAAAGGGCTTTTGTAAATTTTAATGTGCTGAACAGATGTAAGCTATTGTTTTTTGTATTGGATAACTATACATTCAGCAAACTCTTGCTAAACCTTTATCTTTCTGTGACTATAGTCAGTATTATCTTGGAGAGATTCTAAATACGGTTTATGATATACGGCATCCCTCCATTGAAACCTGTTGTTGGTTGCGCCAGTTAACAAGAAGCTGTGTGTTTGATTATGGAATATTTAAATGTCTTCAGTTTTGCATTGTCTGTGCATATTTTGGATATGTCCAAGTGATTTCAGTTTTAATTTATTAAATTTTTATATTTTTTCCTAAATAAACCAAATGATAATGAAAATATACTTATTATTGAATAGAAAAACTTTTTATTAAAGAGGAACATGTGTTCCCACTGTATTTTTTGAAAGAGAATAAGTGAACCTAATCTCCTGAAGTTCCCCCCAAATTAGGAACTCTTGATAAACGTTAAGAAGCTCAAATGAGACTTTCACATGCTTGCCCTGGAAGGCTGGGACCACAGTTTTGTTAAGTTCTTTTTGAACCCCAAGTAAGAGGTGCTGACGTAGATGTAATCCCTCAGATCTTTGAGAATTGGATTAACTTTAAAATGTATTATGTGTCTAGCTAGAAAATTGAGAACCATTTTTAAATCAACAGGCCAAAATTTTTAAGTTGAGTAATATTTCCATAAATAGAAATGTTGTTTTATGCCCACCTAGAATGTTCTGTTTAAAGAAAACTTAAGTTCATGATATAAACTCTATCTGCCCTTTAAGTTTAGAATTTGTTTTGCCCAAGAATTTAAATTTTCTTTAAATATTGGACTCGTAAGTATACTTAAAATTGGATTTTTTTTTTGCAAGTACAGCTTTGAGGAAGTATGTATATCAGTCTGCCCTGTACCATCCCATTCCCATATCCTCTGCAGAAGAGCAAAGCAAATATGGGTTCATTTAAAACTGTATGAAAATGTTTGCTTAACACAACTTCTCTGGAATGGAAAATGTCAAATTGTTAAACTTGTTTCTCTTTCTCTTTTTTTTTTTATCTTAAGGAGAATGGTGTTGAACGCTTATATTCTGAGAGCCTGCCACAGTCCAGGTTTGCTTGTTTGTTTCTGTGTATGACTTTTGCCGCATATTCAGTTAATTTCTAAGAGAATTCTTTGGACCAGACACTCTAAAATACTTCTACTTTTTTGACAGGGAATATTCCACCCTACCATCTCCTGGACACACTTCATCCACAGAGAGTACTGTAACTTCAAGTGGTGAGTAGATTAGAAAAGATATAAAAATAGAGTGTTAGTATTATAACTATAAGCTTGGATGTTCTGTGACCTGCTAAGGTGTGTGCAAATGAAAAGGACATAAGCAAATAATCCTTTTGCATAGTATTCATGCTGTTAGTTTCCTCCTGTTGATAGATTCTGGATCAGAAATTTTGCATATGGCTTCTGGTGTCATTGATTGTAAACCACTCTGTGAGAAAGAGGAGGATAAAAGATCAACTTCTGCTGTGAAGAAGATCAAAGGTAAGCTGTTGAAGGGTTCAAGACGAGTTTCCATTCTAAAACACTAAGCAAACTTGGAAGCTAGTGGAGTAACCATCCTCAGTGGCTCAGTAATACTATTTTATAAAAGAAGTTTGAAGACATAGTCTGGAGAAAAGAAGTCCAGAGGTGACCATGGCCTTCCTATATGACAATGTTACCAACTTTTTTCCAATTCTGTATTTAAAATAAAAATTACAGTATATTTTAATGGGATTTAAATATTTCCTTATGGCCAAAATTGATTGGACACACCGGAGTCTCAACTGTGATGCAGATGTGAAATCACCTACTTAGGAATTGTCAGAATCCTAATTAGAATCTACTGGGTTAAAAGGATGGACCGATTAGTGATGGTCCACTCAGGAGGCAGATATTAACTAGATAACATGTTAGATCCTTTTCTGCCATTTGAGTCTGAAAATAAAGTGCTTATTCTGAACCGTTCCCAGTGAGACATCACTACGGTTGACACTCATGGGAAACATAGGCTCTCATTCCAACCAAAAACACCGATCAAGGAAAACTCATCTAATGTTTAAATTGGGACAATTAAATTTGAGATACAGGTGCTAAGTTAAAGGAGCTGTAAAATTGTAGAAATGGAATCCATTCCTTCAGTTGACTGAAGAATATCTTTATATTCTACCTCACGCCAAATAAGAAAAATTTTAATTAAAACTGCACCAGGGTGCTATTTTTTACCTGTCATGTAGACAAAGATAAAAAATTTGACTGCACACTGTTGGTAAGGTTGTTGGGGGGAAAAGAATTCTCATACACTGCTGCAGGGAATGTAAATTCTTGTAATTAGTATGGAGAGGAATTTGACAATATCTACCCAAAATTTAAATGTACATATTCCATGATAAAACAATTTGGTTTCTGGGACTTTATCCTGTAGATCTAAGTACATACATACTATATGATGTATATGGAAGTTTATTTACTGCAACATTGTTTGTCACAACAAAATATTGGAAACAAGTTAACGATCAGTAGAAGACTAATTAACATATTTTGGCATATCCATGTAATGGAATACTAGTATACATCTGTAAAACATATATAAGGAAACTTTTTTCTTGGAAGGATATCAAAGAACTATTTTTTGTGTGGAAAAACGCCAAAGTACAAAACATTATGTATTGCATGTAAAAATTTGTGGGAAAAAAATAGAAAAAAGTTTTTGTGTATATATAAAATATCTCTGCAAGGCTAGACAAAAATTTGTAACATTGTCTATGAGGAGGTAAAGTAGGTTTCTGGCAGGCGTGATGGGAGGGAAAATTTTCACTGGAAAACAATTTTACGCTTTTTCATTTATGGGCCATATGAATCTACTACCTGTTTTAATTTTTTTTTAAAGAACTAAAATAAAATTTCCATAGGGAAAAAATTTTATATCCCTGAAGAAAGGGGTTACCATTTTGCTCTTATTTCCATGTAAATTAAAAATATCTAATACATCCTTTAACTATTCTGTTTTCTTAAAAAGAAAGAAACGAAATCTGACTATAGCCGCTGACCTTTGTGCCTGCACTGAACTAAAGTCAGGACAATGGATCATGTGAAGAGGAAAATCATCATCAAGTACATTACAATACAAATAAACAAAGGGAAATTACAAAAAGGAATGGCATAAATTAAAAGTGCATCTTTTCTTCTTAGTTTGATTACATTTTATTTAGAAAGATACTGTGTTTTGGAAGGATATACTTTGTTATCAGCCTTGCATATATAATTGTTAAAAACCTGTTTGTCAATCTATAAAAAAAAAAGCTACTAAGTTACTAATTGTTCATCCTTTCATTCAGTTTCTGCAATTATACTAGTAATGTGTTTGATTTTAAAAAGCAGCAGTAGCTGCTTTTTATTTTAATAACCCTACTGTTTGAAGGCCATTTATACAGGTATTCATTTCTGTTAAGAAATCTTATATGGTTAGCTTCCTTGGGAACTTTAGAATGGACACATTTAAAGTTTTTTAGTACAAAATTTGTCTCACGTGTTAAGCACTTTACCACTTACTATTCCGCCCGCATTGCCACCCTCACTATTCCTTCCTCTTTTACTTGTTACTGCTCCCCCTCCCCCCAACACTGTTGATGTGTTTCCTCCTTCTTATAGGTGGAAGTCCAGCTCCTGAAAATATTGCACTCCAAGGCTCTGTGAATGAAGAAAAAATCATGTCAAATCAGGTAAGGAGGGGCTTCCCTGGTGGCGCAGTGGTTGGGAGTCCGCCTGCCGATGCAGGGGACACGGGTTCGTGCCCCAGTCCGGGAAGATCCCACGTGCCGCGGAGCGGCTGGGCCCATGAGCCATGGCCGCTGAGCCTGCGCGTCTGGAGCCTGTGCTCCATGGTGGGAGAGGCCACAACACTGAGAGGCCCGCGTACCGCAAAAAAAAAAAAAAAAATCAGGTAAGGAAATATATGCATGTTAACAGTAAAAGTAATGGTATGTTGCAATGATATTTAGAACTGTCCCTTTAAGTTTGCAAAATACTCTTAAAAGCACGATTGCATCTTATCCTTTCAAAATATTATGAGGTTAATAGAATTTAGTTATACTAATATCGTATAGATGAAGAAGTTGAGTCCAAACCATCCAGGGTCACTCAGTAGACTCAGGTAGGACCTCCTGACTCCACACTGATTTTTCTTTCATTCATTCATGCATTCATTCACTCATTTATTCATCAAAGATCTGCTGGAAACAAGCTAAATATCTATCTGTAGAGTACTCTTAAATAAATGAAGGCATTAATAAATAAGGCTAAACAAAACAGTGATATCTATCTTATAGATGTGTTATAATTAATGGAAGAAACATACAATTACTCAGTAATTAGACTGGTCAGCGATATGAAAGAGAAATGGTTGGGGTGAGAGGACAGAAGAGGTGTCATGGAGGAGGTTCCTAGTGAGTGGTATCGAATGTTATACAGGTACGTGGCAAACTGCTATAAAACATTATAAGGATGAATATTTAAATGTTTATAGAAAAAGAATTAAATTCCTTTCCTTAAAGGGAAGGCATATCGCCACTGGTATGAATTTATAATTATTTGAAGAGTAACTTACAGACTATGGGCAATTCTACGTTCCTTTAAGGGTCATATTTATACATCAGTCCCTCTCTGTATTCTATGTGCGGAGGTGTGTGTCTGTGTGTCTGTGTGTGTGTATTATTATTGTTTTCCCCTCAGTGTATAAACATTCTTTTAGTTAGGCCTATTTGATTACAAGAAACAGAGACTCATGCAACTAACTCAGGTTAAGAGAAGGTTGTGGCCTGTATACATTGAAGGTAATAAGGTAGATAAAAATTTTATACTATTCTTATCTGAAGGGAGTGGAGTAATTGGATATGTGATTTGGGATAATTCTTTGTAGTGTAAAGTATATATAAAGCGTAGTGTTGGCTAGCCCACATGCCGAAAGTGGTTGCCCCTTATAAAAAATGGACAGAGGAAAATTCAAGTCCTCTAGTCTTTCCTAGCTCATCTCAAAAAAGAAAAAAAAAAAAAGAAAGAAAACTTAAAAAAATAATGGATTAGAAAATGTAGTAATGGAGGTGGAAAATTGGTTAGAGTGCTATAGTAGTAATTCAGGCAAGAAATGAAGATAGTATGAATTTAGTGATGATGGAAAAAATGAGACTCATTTGAGAGATACTTGGGGTATAGCATTCACAGTACATGGTAACTGATAATCAGGGGTCTGGGAAAAGGTCAACACCCAGGTTTCTGGCCTAACCCACGGAACGAATAGAATAACATGAGAGTAGGAGGGAGTGAGAAGAATTTGTGGGGTAAATTTAATTTAATTTAATTTGAGGTAAGTCAAGTTTCAGGTTGATATGAGACATCGTTAATACCCTGTAAGGAGATTTTATAGATAACTCTATACCCATATTCATAAGCTCACCCGTGGGACTTTCAGAAGCAGACACATATTTGTGAGTTACCAGCAAAGAACCAAGCAGGTGGATGAGATTCCCCAAGGAAGGAGGGCAGGCAGAGAGAGAGCACAGAGGATAATGGACTCTTGATGATTCCATTACCTAATAAGAGAAGGCAATGGTGGAGGAGACCAAGAAGGAGCTTTGTAGTGATGGAGGGACATCAGGAAAGGGGAACCAAGGGATGAAAAAACTTCAAGAAGGAGGGGATTATAGATCGATTTGGATGCTACAGTGAGGTCACATAAGATAAAGGCTAGGGCTTCCCTGGTGGCGCAGTGGTTGAGAGTGCGCCTGCCGATGCAGGGGACACGGGTTCGTGCCCCGGTCCAGAAGGATCCCACGTGCCGCGGAGCGGCTGAGCCCGTGAGCCATGGCCGCTGAGCCTGTGCTCCGCAACGGGAGAGGCCCGCGTACCGCACAAAAAAAAAAAAAAAAAAAAAAAAAAAAAATGATAAAGGCTGAAAATTATCCATTGGATTTGGCAGTAGGGAGCTCACTGATAACTGGGGAGGGCAGTTTCCTTGGAGCGTTAGGTGCAGGGGCAGAGTAGTTCACTGATCACAAATGGGAGATGAGGAACTAGAAGATGTCACAGGGTCGAGGGGGGATTAAAAAAACTGGAGTATGTAAATATTGATAAGGATGATCCAGTGTTTTACCTGTATTATTTCATTTGTTACAGTTGTCCAGAACTTACATGACATGGTGTCAAGGGCCCTACCAAGGAAATTTGTCTTGGCCTCATTTTTTATGGAAAATTTCTGAGAATGTTGAATAATAATTATCCTAAAATAATTGTATACCTATAGCTTCTCCTTTAGATTTCCCCGGGCAGTATAGAGCAACTCTCCTATTATGGTGATTCTCGTATGGATACCTTTGTAGGACAGTGGGTCAGTGACCTTAAAATATATTCAGATGGAGTAAAAGCCAAACATAGCACAATCTTAGCAGCTATTTTGCCATAATTTCTCCAACAATCCATCTGGAAAGCTGCGTGTGATAGTCCTAGATCACCGCGCCCCCTCTTCATCCATTCAGTCCTATCTCTCCCTCAAGCTCCAGCTTGTTCCTTGTCTGCAGAGACTTTCCATGCTTCTTAACCCATGGTGTTGCTCTCTTCCTTTTGCAAAGCACATATTTATCTATCTCTCATTTACTTGGCAAGTAATCCTAGTTTGCTTTGAAGTAACTTGTATCGTGATTGCAGCTTTTCATGTACTTCTGTTTTTTATGCCTCAGCTAGATTAGAAACCCCCTTGGAGTCAGTCCTCTTTCCTTCTGAATGCCTAGCACAGTTCTTTGCATACTATAGAGTGTTTTTTGAACAGGGTAGGCAGGAGAGGACAGGAAGTCGAGAAATGATTAGCTATGAAGGATTTCCACTCTATGTTTAGCAATAAAATCTCTTTATGATTTTAGGAAGCCAAAGGGGAACCAGAAACAATAAATGAGCACAGAAAAGAATGTGTGGCAGGAGGTAAGGAATGTTCTCTTCCAACCCCCATGTGAACTTTTGTTCCCTGCTGGTATGTTTTATGGATGAAATCTTTCTGAGTAAAGATATGGCATCTACAACTCTGCATCTCTAGATAAAATCAGCCAAATAGAACTGATTTTGATTCAATTTGTAGCGTTTTCAAAAGGCCGTATTTATGTTGCATTGCCTGTTAAGCCCAGAGGTCTTGTAATAACTAGTGCCCTATTGTGAACTAAGAACCATGCCAATGTTGGTAGCAAATTCTAAGCTCTACTCTGAGATTTTTTTATTATTCTGTCTAAAAGCAAATAAGCCAGTATTTGAAGAATGAGTGCTAATATGCTTCTCTCCCCATCTCCCTTCTGTTAGGATGGAATAGTGAATAGAGTTCTGGCTTTGGAGTCACTCACTGTATGCTTGGTCACTCTCTTACTTGCTGTGACTTTGGCAAGCTATTTAAACTTGAGTCTTAATTTCTTCATCTGCAAAGTGGAAATGATGAGTAAAAAAAAAAAAGAAAGTACCCTTTATGAAATTAGACTGTACTAATTACTAGGCTAAATTCTCTTTATGCATAGTTTTATTTAGTTCTCCCCAATACCTGTGTGAGCTAGGTAAGCTGCAATTCAGTTTCCTAGCCTATAAACTGTAGATAAGAACGGTACCTACTACAGAAGTTTGGCTGTGAGGACTGAAGAAATTATGTAAAAAGTATTTAGAAAGGTGCCTGATAAAAGTTCTCATAAAAGTTAGCTACTATAGAAAAATCATCCTTATTTTGTAGATGGTTTGATGAAGTTGTGACCTGTTCCAGGTCACTTAGTTTTAAGGATCAAAGAGTTGACTGAAAAAAAATGCACAACCTAAAAGTTGAGAATTATGTTTTATCCACAGATTTACTGAGGACTTAAGCCTGGGATATAGCCTCTCAGATAGCTCTGAGGGACTGTTCCAAAGAGGTAAGGGAAGAGACAGGACATACAGGAGATTTTGCAAAACAAAACAAAAAACCACCAGGTAGTCCAACATCAAAAGATAACTGCTAATTATAAAAAAACCCCAGACATCTCAAGTTAATGAATTTAGCCCTTTTCTATGTATGGGAAGATGCAAGAGTCTGGGCCTATTGAAATCATTCCTTTGATATATAGGGACAGTATCCTGCTTTTCTCCATCTTAAATCCCCTCAGGGTGCACCGCAGCTACACATCTACGATGGCTGATGGCTTGATGACCACAGCATCATTTGTTTACTGAATGGCAGGCCACATTCTCTGTCCACAAAAGCTAGGATTTAAACCAGATCTTTTCAACTCTATACTTAATGCTCTTAATTCCTATTATTGTCTTCTTTGTGAAGTAGTCATGAAGAGTATCATTAATATGTATAAAGAGCTTTGTTCTGGGACTGGCATATAGTAAACCTGTGGTAAATGATTGATATCATGTTTATTGTTGCTGTTATTATTAGCAGTATTATTATTATTATACTATTGTTCTAGTACTACTACTAGTACTAGTACTAGTACTACTACTACTACTAGTACTACTACTACTACTACCCCAATACCTGTGTGAGTTAGGTAAGCTGCAATTCAGTTTCCTAGCCTATAAACTGTAGGTAAGAACGGTACCCACCAGAGAAGTCTGGCTGTTGAGGATTGAAGAAATTATGTGTAAAGCACTTAGAAAAGTGCCTGATAAAAGATCTCATAAAAGTTGCTGGTTTTAAATCCTTGGTCCGCAGGAAAACCAGGGTACCAGATGAAGCTATGCATTTAACCATGGAATCAAATCAAATAAACATGCAAAAGCAGAAAGAACAAGTTGGGCTGTTCCTTGACTCTGAGACATCTTCAGGTTTTCAAAGACTATTCATGCACTGAAGTGTGAGCCCATAATTTCAACATGATCGTGATCCCCAAAGCGTAGCATAACGTTATCTTATATTTAAGCAAATGCATTATTAGCTGGCAGTCTTCTCGGACATATTTCAATGAACGCCTTTGTTGAGTGGAGGGAGGCCCTAACAACATTGGATTGAATGTGCCTGTAGCTGTCAAGCCTGTTTAACCAAATACTATCTTACTGTCTTTTTTTTTTTTTATCTTATTGTCTTTTAATAGGCGCTGCTGTTTCCTCTCTTCCTGTGAAGTCAGTTAACTTTAGACAAAGTGACAAGTAAGCTCCTCCTCATATAGCACGCTCACATTTTTTGCTTTTCTGTTGAACTATGTTTGAGTAAGTTCTTTCTCTTATCTTACAGCACTTCTGCTAATGAGAAGGAGGTGGAGGTAAGTTTCAAGCAAATGTTTTTTCCTTTAGTAAAACAAATACGTGTTTCAGACTCACTCGCCTGCAGTCCCTGCGAGCTTTTGCACAAGCTATCGTACGTTTGGTGTCTGTCTGGCTTGGCCATGACAAAGTGCAGGGAAAGCCTATGCGTGCCAGCATTATGTCACTGGGAGGAGAAAGAAATGCCTCAGTGTAATTTGGTATTAAACTGGAAATTTGACTACATCCAATGTTCTGTCCTCACCCTCAAATTATTTTGACAACAGGCGGAATTTCTCAGGTTATCTTTGGGATTTAAATGCGACTGGTTCACCTTGGAGAAAAGAGTGAAGCTTGAAGAAAGATCCCGTGACTTGGCAGAAGAAAATTTGAAGAAAGAAATTACTAACTGTTTAAAACTGTTAGAGGTGAGACTCATAACATTTGGGGACTACACGTTCGGTTGTATTATTAATAAGGTTTTCAAAATTACGTAAGAGTTTACTTGTATGACTAAAACCAACACTAGGTACCAAGCCCTGCCTGACTCAAATGTGAATTAATAAGAGGTAAGAAATCAGGATCAGGCTAAGATAAAAGCCTCACCAATAGAACGGTATAAGTAATAAAACAAATAAATGTTGTTTAGTTACGTGAATCTTCTGCCATCTCTCTGTATCTTCAAATAGATTTCAGGCAGAAGAGTAATTATGCAGAAAACTGAGCAACAGGAGATAATATCAATGTTAAGCTTCAAAGAAGAGAATCAAAAGACGATTTCCATTTAATTAACTGAAAAAAGAGAACGGTGATATTTCAGTCTTGTCAGATAATGGGCAAACCTTGTGTAAGGTACACAGAAGTGTAACAACTATTATTCTTCTATTTTGTGCAGTCACCATAAATATACAGATGGGTTGGAAAATTAAGGGGGCTAATTTTGGAAAAAGAAAATAAAAATATAGAAACCATATTCTGTTTTTTTACTGTGGTTAAAAAAGCACATAATGTAAAATTTACCATATTAACCATTTTAAGTGTACATCAGTAGTGTTGAGTATATTCATGTTGCTGTGAGATAGATCTTCAGAACTTTTTCATCTTGCTTACTGAAACTCTATAGCCATTAAACTATTCCCCTTTTGCCCTTCTGTCAGCCCCTGGTAATCACCATTCTGCTTTCTGTTTCTATGAATTTGACTACTTTAGATAGCTCATGTAAGTGGAATCATATAGTATTTGTCTTTTTGTAACTGGCTTATTTCACTTAGCATAATGTCTTCAAATTCATCCATGTTGTATCATGTGGCAGGCTTTCCTTCCTTTAAGGCTGAATGAAATATTCCATTGTACATATATACCACATTTTGTTTATCCATTCATTTATTGATGGACATTTGAGTTACTTCCACCTCTTGGCTATTGTGAACATTTAATGTTGTTGCTATGAACATGGGTGTGCAAGTATCTCTTCAAGACCCTGCTTTCAATTCTTTTAGAAATATGGCCAGATGTTGGATTGCCGGATCATATAGAGTTCTATTTTAAGTTTCTGAGGAACCACCGTACTGTTTTGCACAGTGGTGTTACCATTTTAAAATCCTACTAACGGTGCACCAAGGTTCCAATTTCTCTACATCCTGGCCAACATGTTATTTTCTGTTTTCTTTTTTTTTAAAATTAATTAATTTATTTTTGGCTGCATTCGGTATTCGTTGCTGCGTGCGGGCTTTCTCTAGTTGCAGTGAGCGGGGACTACTCTTTGTTGCGGTGCACCAGCTTCTCATCGTGGTGGCTTTTCTTTGTTGTGGAGCATGGGCTCTAGGCATGCAGGCTTCAGTAGTTGCAGCACGTGGGCTCAGTAGTTGTGGCTCGTGGGCTGTAGAGCACAGGCTCAGTCGTTGTGGCACACGGGCTTAGTTGCTCCGTGGCATGTGGGATCTTCCCAGACCAGGGCTCGAACCCGTGTCCCCTGCATTGGCAGGCAGATTCGTAACCACTGCGCCACCAGGGTAGTCCCTATTTTCTGTTTTCTGATAGTAGCCATTTAATAGGTGCAATGTGGTATCTCACTGTGGTTTTGATTTGCATTTCTCTGATGATTAGTATTGTTGAGCATCTTTTTATATGCTTATTGGCCGTTTGTATATCATCTTTGGAAAATGTCTAAGTCCTTTGCCAATTTTAAAATAGGATATATGATTTGCAAATATTTTCTCCCATTCCATAATTTGCCTTTTCATTCTGTTGATTATGTCCTTTGATGCACAAAAGTCTGTAAGTTTGATGCAGTGCTGTTTTTCTATTTTTGCTTTTGTAACCTATGCTTTTGGTGTCATATTCAAGAAATCATTGCCAAATACAATGTCATGAAGATTTACCCCTATGTTTTCTTCTAGAGTTATATAGTTTGGGGTCCTACATTTAGGTCTTTAATCCATTTTGAGTTGATTTTTGTATATGGTGTAAAATAAGAGCCCAACTTTACTCTTTTGCAGTTTTCCAACATCATTTGTTAAAGAGACTATCCTTTCCCCATTTTGTAGTCTTGGCACCCTTGTCAAAGATCATTTGACCATATATGTATAGGTTTATTTCTGGGCATGCTGTTCTGTTCTACTGGTCTGTCTTTATGCCAGAACCATACTGTTTTGGTTACTGTATCTTTGTAATGTGTTTTGAAGCCAAGACATGGGATACCTTTGTACTTCTTTTTCAAAATTGTTTGGCTCTTTGGGGTTCTTTGAGATTCCATATGAATTTTTCAATTTCTGAAAAAAATGCCTTTGGGATTTTGATAGAGATTACACTGAATCTGTAGATTGATTTGAATAGTATGGACATCTTAACAAAATTAAGTCTTCCAGTCCATGAACACAGGATGCCTTCCCCTTTGTGTCTTCTTTCATTTTTTTCAGCAATGTTTTGTAGTTTTCAGTGTACAAGTCTTTCATCTCCTTGGTTAGGTTTATTCTCAACTATTTTATTTTTTTGGATGCTATTGTAAGTGGAATTATTTTCTTAATTTCCTTCTTAGATGGTTCATTGGTAGTGCATAGAAATGCAATTGATTTTTGTGTGTTGATTTTGTATCCTACAACTTTGCTGAATTTGTTTATTAGTTCTAACAGTCTTTTTGTGGAATCTTTAGGGGTCTCTTTATGTAACATCATGTCATCTGTGAACAAAGATAATTTTACTTCATTCTTTCCAGTATGGATTTTTTGAATATATTTTTTTACTTGCCTAACTGCTCTGGATAGGACTTCCAGTACTAAGTTGCATAGAAGTGGTGAGAGTAGGCATCCTTGCCTTGTTTCTGACCTTAGAAGAAAAGCTTTCAGTCTTTCACCATTGAGTATGATTTTAGCCTTGGGTGTTCATATATGGCCTTTATTATGTTGAGGTAGTTTCCTTGTATTTCTGTTTTTTTGGATATTTTTATTATGAAAGGTGTTGAATCTTGTCAAATGCTTTTCTTATCAGTTTAGATGATCATGGGATATTTATCCTTCATTCTGTTAATGTGGTGTATTGCACTGATTGATTTTCATATGTTGAACCATCCTTGCATTCCAGGAATAAATCTCACTTGGTCACGGTGTATAATCCTTTTAATGTGCTATTGAATTCAATTTGCTAGTATTTTGTTGAGGATTTTTACATCACTATTCATAATGAATATTGGTCTATAATTTTCCTGAAATGTTGTTGTCTGGCTTTGGTATCAGGGTAATTCTGGCCTCAGAGAATGAACTTGGAAGTGTTCCCTCCTCTTCAATTTTTTGCAAGAGTTTCAGGAGGATTGGTATTAACTCTTCTTTAGCTGTTTGATAGAATTCTCTAGTGAAGCCATCTGGAACTGGACTTTTCCTCTTTGGGAGATTTTTCTTTTTATAACTGCTTCAATCTCCTTACTAATTATCGGTCTACTCAAATTTTCTATTTCTTCATGATTAAGTTTTGGTAAGCCATATTCTGTTTGACTAACAACTAATATATGCTCTTCTCTTTCTAACTAATGGTGGTTATTTAAACTGCAGTAAGAAACTGTATGTCTGACAATGGTCATTCCAGTTGGTTAGCAACTTTCCTGTTGCAACTCATACATATCTGCCTGTTTCAAAAGTGGCTGCTATTTCATTGAGCATCTACTGTGTGACAAACAATTGGCATCTATTACCTCTCATGTCACAATATTCCTGGAAAGAAGATGCAGTTGTCTCCATCTGACAGATGAAGAAAAAGCAAATCAGAAAGCTTGATATTATAACATTTGTAGAATTAAGATGCAATTTACAGTCAATGATGCCTTATGGTTTTATTGGCAGCACTTTTCCTTTCTGATGCTATATAAAATTTATGGTATTTTAGACATGCGCAAGTATTAGAAATTTGCTCATGATCACACAGCTAATGAGCAATGGCTTGTTGGCTTCCAAATATGCTGTTCTCTTAATTCTTTCTCCACTCCAGTGAAACAGATGGCCTTCCATCAGGAAAGCCATCATCTTGGTTCAAGGGCAGAGGTTTGAGATAAATATTCATAAGGCAATGAAGGCGTAACGGCCTAACCAGCCCAATCTCACCTTGTCATCAATGGAAGAGCAAATATAGTAATCAGAGTCATATCTAATTCGAGTATATTTTTATTACTTTTCTTAAAAGTTCAAACTATGCTCTTCATATAGTGCATTCAATTCATTTATAGGCATAATTTCTTTACCATTGCCAATTAATTACATCCCATCCTATTAATTGTAGAAGAAAGATACAAACACACATGAAGGAGTAGCAAATTTGGGAAGTAAAGAAGGAAGGGATCAAAAATAGTATAAAAGGCTTTGTGAATACCTGCATAGGTCTACCTCATAACCAACAAAGGTATTAATATTTCAGTATCATTCACTATTGGTCTTTGCTGCTGCTTTTCACCTTCCACAAAGATAATAGATTCATCTGCATTTACAATATAGTCAGTGTTAGAATCACTTGCTGAATACTTGGGTTGGATACTTTTTAATACTTTACTTTCTGTGCAGTCTTTAACACCTCTTTGTGAAGATGACAGCCAAGCCCAGGAAATCATTAAGAAGCTGGAGAAAAGTGTAACATTCCTCAGTCAGTGCACAGCTCGAGTGGCCAGTAGGGCTGAGATGTTGGGAGCCATTAATCAGGTAATTTGTCTCCCTTTCTCCAGTTACAATTTAATTACTAAAAGTGGATTACATTTCTAGGAAAAAACTATATTTGATCATTTCAGAATGCTCTTGATATTTTCCTGTTTTAAAAAATGCTACAATAAATATCCTTGTTTATGCATCTTTGCACACTTATTCATAGAGAAGTCGATTTTCAAAATTTTCTTTGTGGGAAAATCTGGGGAGACTTTAAATTTTTGAATCTCTACGTAAACAAACTTGTTAAAATATATTTTCCTAAGAAGGAGACATTTCACTGTGATGATAGTTTTAGTCTGAACATTTGTTATACACTTCTAACATTCTAGTTTCTTTTTAACCCCTCGCCAGGTAGTAATATTCTTTGTTTTATTTTTATTAAAGTTACATATGTGCATAGCTTTTTTTAAAAAAGCCAAGTAGTTCTCAAAGCCTTCTTATCCCATTTCCCATGTTCCAGAGCAACAACTTTCAACTCTTTTGGTTTGTTTTTTATTAATATTCATATCTCCAAATAATATGCTTATACTGTCACCAAGTGATTCAGTTTTAGATATTTATTGGTTTCCTACTACAAAGATGAAAATTTATTTATCAATCGTTCCCCCTCACACCTTTTCACTGTCTTTCACCTTATTGTTGATCTCTCTTCTTTCCTAACCAAGCTTAAATTCCATGGTCAAACACAACATTAGCTCCCTTGCATGAACCCTCAACACTTTTCCTTCTCTTGTTTTCTTTTAATCATTAGGAAAATCTACAACTTGTTTTAAATCCATTTCTCCACCTGATTATACCTGCATAGCTGGAAAACCTCACACCTCTGTGCTGCCTGAGTTCTTTTGAAATTCATCACAAACCTCAAGTGGTCCTTGGGGCTTCCCATCTTTCACACTTTCTCCTTTCTCCTCAAATCACCATCATGTCCTCCCCTCTCTCTCTGTCAAATAATGACTTTGCTTCTTAACTCAGTAAGAAAGTTGAGGCAATCAGAAGGGACCTGCCAAAAGCTCTGAACCTACAAGCACCTAAACCCTTGACATTGCCTTCCTTCCTGGTACGAAAGATGAGTTGTCTCTCATCCTATCCATGGCTAACCATCCCACGTGTATATAAGATCTCATCCCTTCTAAATTACTCAGAATCTTGGGCCCCAATTCTCCCTGCATTCTTCCATCTCCAGTTTTTCCCCACGCTACTGAATCATTCCCATCAACACACAAATACGTTGTTTTTAAGACAGGAAAAATAACACTAAACAAACACAAACAAAACAATCTTTCACTCTTTCTCCACCACCCTGTTTCTCTGTTCCCATTTTTAGCAAATCTCCTCAACAGAATTGTGCTGTTTCCAATTTCTCTCCTCCCAGTCTCTCTGAAACATATTCTAGTCAGCCTTAACCTACTAATTTTCCTTAACCTGTCTGCTACATTCAACACGGCTGAGCTCTTCCTCCTCCTGGAAACACTCTCCTCCTTGGTTTCCAGGTACCACAGTCCCCTGGTCCTTCTCTCTACATCATGGAACAATCCCTTCCAGACTCCTTTACGGGTCCCACCCTTTCTCCCAGCCCTCTTAATCTTGATGGGCCCCAGGGCTTCACCTGTGCACGTCTGATTTCCATCGTCACTCAATCCCCATACTATCCTATGTAGTCAACTAATGACTGCCTAATTCACACACTTATCCCAAACCTCTGCCATGAGTTTCAGACCAGAACCTGCTACTGTTGATGTAGCTTGGAAGTTTGATAAACAATTTAAGCTTAACACATCCAAAAATAAACTTCTGACAGTCCCTCCAAAAACTGTTCCGCACGTAGTCTCCTTACCTCAGTAAAGGGCAACTCTGTCCTTCCAGTTGCTGGGGCTGGAAAACCTTGGGGGTAATTCTCAACACATTTCTCTCACACTCCACATCTAATCCTATGGTCAATCCTATTTACTTTACCATCAGAACATGTCTGGAATTCAACCACTCATTTCCCTCTCCACAGCTACCACCTTAATCTAAGCCACCATTCTATTTTTTTCCCAGATTACTACAATATCTTCCTACATGGTCTTCTTGTCTCCATCTAAATCCAATCCCCACCCCACCCCCATAGTCGCTTCTCAATAAAACAGCCAGAATAATCCTTTTAAAACTTAAGCCAGGTCATGCTACTCTTCTTTTTTTCATGTTACTTATTGGTTCACAGCCCTCAAGTGACTCCTCATTTTTTTCAGAATAAAAGCCAAAGTCCTTATGATGGCTTAGAAAGATCTACATGATTCCCCTGCCTTCTTACCCCTTGGACTTTATTTTCTGTGACTGTCTTCCTGGGTTATTGCACGCCAGCCACACGGGACTTGTTTCTGTTCATCATGCTGCCAACTCAGGCCCCCAGTCCTAGCTGTTCCCTACGCCTAGAATATTTTTCCTCTAGGTGTCCACATGTCTTAGCCCTCACCTTCTCCAAGTCTTGTTCAACTGTCACCTTCATAGAATAGCCCAGCTGACCACCTGAGCTCCCTTGTAAAATTTCAACCCCTTCCACCCCAGAGCTTCTTATCCTCCCTTTCCCTGTCTTTTTTCATAATGCTGATCACATTTTAGCATACTATTATGTTTTACTGACGTCTTATTTGTTGTCTACCTCCTCCCACTAGAATATAAGCTCCATGAAGGTAGGAATATATGTCTGTATGGCTCACTGCTTGTCTCCTCAATGCCTAAAATGTGCATAGCAAGTACTCAAAAAGTTTTTGTTAAATGAGGGAGTATACGACACCAAAAGCAATGGCAAAAGAATAGATAAATTGGACTTCCTCAAAATTAAAAACTTTTGTGTATCAAAGGACATTACCAAGAAAGTGAAAAGATAATCTACAGAATGGAAGAAAATATTTGAAGATCATATATCTGATAAGGGCCTAGTATCCAGAATATATAAAGAACGCTTGCAGCTTGACAGAAAGAGAAACAACCCAATTAAAAAAATGCAAATAAGACTTGAATAGGCATTTCCCTAAAGAAGATATACAAATGGCCAATAAGCACATGAAAAGATGCTTAATTATTAGGGAAATGAAAATCAAAACCATAATGATATACCTCTTCACACCCACTAGGATAGCTATAATAATAGAAAAAGAAAGGAAGGAAGAAGGAAAATAACTAGTGTTGACAAGGATGTGGGGAAATTACAATATCATTATCATATTATTAATATATTATTTAACTATTAAAAGGAATGAAGTGTTAATACATGCTACAGTGTAGATGAATCTGGAAGAATTTATGCAAACTATAGGTGCTAGACACAAAGGTCACATATTGTATAATTCTATTTATATATAGTATCTAGAATGGGTAAATCTTTAGAGAAAGGTAGAAGATTGGTATTGACTAGGTTTTGGTGGGGAGGGGTGAGTGGGGAGTAATTGCTTAGTGGGTGTGGGGGTTTACTTTGGGGTGATAAAAATGTTTTGGAACTAGATAGAAGTGGTGGTTGCACAACATTGTGAATGTACTAAATGTCACTGAATTGTTCACTTTAAAATAGTAAATTTTATATTGTGAATTACACATCAATATAAAAAAAAGAAAAAATACAATGAATGTATTTTTTCAGGTTCCAATTCAAACAAAACTGTAAATAGATGTTTTTGAGGCAATTGGGGAAATTTGAATATGGATTAGATGATAAGATGTTTCTGTTAATGTTGTTAGACGTGATCATGGCATTGTGGTTATTTAAGACAATACACTCCTATATATATGTATATTTTTAGATACTTACTGAAATGTTTATGAGTAAAACCACATGATGTCCATCACCTGTACTTAAAAAGAAATAGCATTCAAAACTTGAGATGAAACTCATATAGCAAAATGTTAGTGGTTCTTGAAACTGGTTAATAGATATGTGTGGGCTTATTGTCTACTTTTTGTGTCTGTTGAAATTATCGTAATAAAAAGTTTTAATTAAAAAAAGTGGATGAATAATATTAGATCTATATTATCTGTAAACATTATTATGCCCGTGTAAATTCTATTCATAGCAGAGACAGTAGTCTGTTATGATGTCTTTTCCTTCTTTGCACAATGTTCATGTTCTTCGTGGAGTTAATCATTTTCCTTTGCCATGATTGTTATGCTTAGTTTTCTATTTACTTATCTCTAATTTATTCTTAGCCTCTCCCAGGGAGTCTAGATCTCACAATACATTCAGACTCATCAGGTATTCTGTCAATTTCTTCATTGAGATGTTGCTTCCAGAGATTTTTGACCTGTAAGTCTGTTCTTCAGGCTCAACACAAAAGTCTTAGGAATTCTTAAATGAAGATTTCTTTCACTTCTTTCTTGAGTTGAATCCCATTTCCTGAATCCCATACCTCCTTCTTTGCTGGCTTACTTTTTTATTTTGGTGGAACATCTCACGCGTTTTTCTGAGGGAAAGAATGTCTGGGAGGTAAACTTTTTAAAATGTTATATAACTGAAAATGGCTTTATTCTTTATGTCTTTACGGTAGCTGGGTGAAGGATTCTAGATTAGAAATCATTTCCTTCATAATTTTTCATCTTCTTCTTAGCTTCTGGAGTTGCTATCAAACTTTGATGCCATTCTGACCCCTGAACTTTTGTTTAAAACCCCTTTTTACTTTCCAGAAGCTTTTAGGATATCCTCTTACCCCTACTGTCCTTCCTTGGCATGGGTTTATTTTCAACCACTGTTTTAGGTCCTAAGCTGGAAAGTTATTTCTTGAGTTCAGAGATTTTCTTGAACTGTTTCCTTTTCTACATTTGATGGAATTTTTCTACATTTTCTATACTTCTTGAATTCCTTTCCCCTGAACTGGTCCTTTCTTGTCTGTTTTCTACATTTTTGTCATTTTGATCTAGTCTCAGAGAAATTTCCTTAACCTTATCTTGAAACTCTTAAGTTACATATTTTTTTAATCATATTTTTAATTTCCAGACTTTTAAAATTCTCAGAATGTTGCTTTTTAATATCTTGTTCTTATTTCATAGATGCAATACTTATTCTTACTTTTCTGAAGATATTGATAGTTTCATTGAAATTTTAGTTTTTTTCTTTTTGTTTTGATTTCCTTTTCTCAGGCTAGAGGCTTTCCTCTGACTAGTGATGACCCACTATACAGCTGACTGGGAGCTCTGTATATGTTGGGTGGGGACGTTTCTTTTTGGCTCTGAGCTTCACACAAGCTAGGTTGTGTCACTGGGGTACTCTTAACGTTGGTAGTTTTAAGACTGTCATCTTGCAATGTTAGATTCCTCAGAGAAAAGTCTTCCAACTGCCAGTCTTGAGAGTATAAGCTTGGCTACAAGTGTTTGATAGTTGGAAGAATAAGGCTCCATATCTCTAGATTCAATATATACATAGACTTTTGCTTAAATCTATTCTTTTCTGTATGATCCACTCACCATCAACTATTTGTTACCGCTCAATCCACAGACACTCTGGTTAACTCTCTCTAGATAGCCAGCTTTTGTAGTCTTTCACCAAAGTGGTAGAGGGGCTCAGCTGACCTGAGTAAGGGAGGGGATCTGTGGATCTAATCACTTTTTACAGATTTTCAACCATTTCTTCTGTTCTATCTCCAAGCTTAATTCCAAAGGCACCACTAACTCCTGAGCATTTGCAGCTTTCTGTGGTATAACCCACGTGGCTTCTAGGCTTTTCTTACTGCTTTTTTAAGGGTTCAGCTTTTCAGGTCTTAGTCATTTACCACCGGCCCTTCTACTTGGCAGGTGTTCAAAAATTTGTTATATCCTCTTCCGTTCTATTTACCCTTGTCTATTCATGCCTTAAAAAAAATCCCTTGTCATTTTTGTAGGATTTAAGGATGGAGTGAAGGTAAGTGCATGTGTCTCATTCACTGTCTTTTAACTGGGTATCAAGAATAGTATTTTCAATGTAAATTTGCTCTTTTTTTTTTTTTTTTTCCGGTACGCGGGCCTCTCACTGTCGTGGCCTCTCCCGTTGCGGAGCACAGGTTCTGGACACGCAGGCTCAGCAGCCATGGCTTATGGGCCCAGCCGCTCCGCGGCATGTGGGATCTTCCCGGACCAGGGCACGAACCCGTGTTCCCTGCATCGGCAGGCAGACTCTCAACCACTGCGCCAGCAGGGAAGCCCTAAATTTGTTCTTTTTTTTTTTCCTGCTAGGAAAGCCGGGTTAGTAAAGCCGTCGAAGTGATGATTCAGCATGTAGAAAATCTGAAGAGAATGTATGCCAAAGAACATGCTGAATTAGAAGAACTAAAACAGGTTCTTTTGCAAAATGAAAGGACTTTTAACCCTCTTGAAGATGAAGGTAATAAAAGTTTAAGATAATTGTATCAGTTATGTCTTTCTAACTTTCTTCTTTTTCATTCTCTCTCTTACTAATTCTTATTATATAATGTCTTTAGTATAAGACCCTTATGTTAAGATATTAGAAGGATATGATATATAGAATATAAGAAATAACTCACTCCTGTTATTTATATAGCCCAGAGTAAGATGTCAGCTAGAAAACAAATTAGGAGACAAGATGGATTTTATGGTAGACACCAAGATTTCATTAAAATGATGACATGAGCGAATATAACCAATCCAACTCATTGAGTTGACCCCAGTGTTGTCTTACTTAGGATATGTTAGAATTGGCTTTTTCTCCACACATAAAGCAAGGCACAGTAGCATAAATGAACCACTCTTATCAACAATGGTTTTGTATCCCTCGAACAAGGAAGGACTGTGACAGGGTAAGCTAATCAATAGATTGGAAAATAGGGAGACATCTGAGACCACGGAGAATATCTTAACAGAAGGCTTATATGAACCTTATAGTTTTATTTTAAATAGACAGTATGAATGTCTATAGGCAGAATTTTCATTTTAATGATTCTGTTCCCTCTTCTTGAAAAGTAATAACATGTGATGATCTTCTGATCTGTAATTTTGGACTCATTGATTCAGCAGACATTCATTTAGTGCCCCCTCTGTGCTAGGCAGGCATGGTGGACATTGGCAGTGACACAGAGGACTGTATTCCATTGGTTCAGATTACTAACGTTGTGAATCACCAAATAAATTATAACCAGATATTTATATTGCTCAGTAGTCTCTAGGGTCTTAAATATTTTCCAACCATTGCTTTTCTTTGTAAAGAATTAAGACCATTGCGTTAAATTGCACATGTAATTCCAAAAATACACAAATGTGTTTTCCCTTTCAGGTGACTGCCAAATTAAAAAACGTTCAGCTTCTCTAAACTCTAAGGTAACAAATGTCTATCAAATGTTATAGCTGAGATGGTTTTAAAATATTACTTGAAGCAACATGGCTTTAAATCATAAAACAACAGTGATTTTAATTCATATATATGTGTTATGTATATATACATGTGTGTTTATATATGTACGCTTTTGTACTTCTTGCAATATTTGTACATCAATTAAGTTTGCCTGGCAGCGGGAGGAAAGCCAGTATAACGATAGTTTCTCTCTCATGTGAAACTAAAGTTGGGAATAAGCAGTCCAACAGCTTCACAAAATCCCAGTCCCCGTCTCTCTTGCCGAGTCATCGACCTCAGCACTTTGCTTCCATCTCATAGTCTAAGATAGCTTTGTCATTTCTGGCTACCAAGTCCTGGTCATTATGTTGAGTCCTGCTCCAAGAAAAAGGAAGAAGCGAGAACAGGTGTTCTCTCTACCTCTGAAGACACTTCCTAGAAGTCCCAGATAACATTTCCCTTTTCATTCTTTGTTGGAAATAAGATGAAAACAGCTTTTATTCTGGAGGCTGTATGCCTAACTAAAAATTAGTGGGGTTTGTTACTAAGTAGAAGGGGAAAACGGGATATTGAAAGTCAGCCAGCAGTTTCTGTCAGTTTGAAAATCAAGATTTCACTGAATTTTTGAGCAAGGGACTTTAAAATCATTCCATCCAAATCTTTTTCACAGATGAGGAAATTAACTTTCTCAGAAGTTAAGTGATTAGTTATGATCCTGTAGTGACAGAATCATGATTAGAACCCAGGATTTTGGACCACAATTTGATATTTTTGATGTTCAACTAACCTATAAAAATAAATTAGAAATGGTGGCTTAAGAAAAGTATTCACATAAAACTTCTTCAGTTTATTTCCTGAAGTTCTACTTATTTAAATGTGAAGAGCCACAAAATATAACATTCTCCTGTACAAATCTCAAGGCTGAGGTATAAACACATACATTCATTATAATGTCATACTCATCCTTAAATGCATTAAATGGAAAAAATGAAACCATGAAAAAAAATCCCTAAAATAGGTGCATATTTATCTCCTCTTGAGTTGGGGAAAGCCTTTCCAAGCATAAAAGAAATGATAGCAAAAGAGGGGAAGAGATGAGGGACTTCCCTGGCGGTCCAGTGTTTAAGATTCCACGCTTCCATTGCAGGCGGCACGGGTTCGATCCCTGGTCAGAGAACTAAGATCCTGCATGCCACATGATGTGGCCAAAAACCAAACCAAACCAAACCAAAGATAACAAAAAAAAAAAAAAAAAAGGAGAGAGAGAGAGAAAGAGATGAAAAGGTTTGGCTACATTAACAATAAAAAAATTCTGCCAAGAAATATCATTAACAAAATTAATATAGGCAAAAATCATAAACAGGTGGTTCTCAGAGCAGATACATACAGGGTTATTTGGCATAGGAAAACAGTGTTCAGTGTTACTGGAAACCTAAACAGAAAGCCTTATGTTCCTTACTTGATTGGCAAAAATTATCCATTGTTGGAGAAGGTAGAATATAAATTGGCAGAATATTTCTGGAAGGCAATTTGGCCATAACAAAATCCTTGAAAATATGTCTCCTGTTTAACTCATCAGTGATCAAGTACATGGATGTGTACATTCAAGAATACCCATCAGTGTTTCATACAAGGATAAAACATTGAGAATTTTCTAAGTGTACATTTTCCCCCTTTGGGTAGCCATCTTCTCTTCGAAGAGTGACCATTGCCTCTTTGCCCAGAAATATTGGAAATGCAGGAATGGTAAGCAAATCCCTAAGTGTTCTTAGTCAAAAGCAAATTTATTTCCATATGACAGAAATATAAATTTACTACACTAAATTCATATTTTATTATTTCCTTAACATCTGAACTTTAAAGGTGGCTGGGATGGAAAATAATGACCGATTCAGTAGGAGGTCAAGCAGTTGGTAAGTGTAATTTTCTGGTTGCTCTTTGGGAACCTTACTGTTTTATACCTGGGCTAAAGTAAATGTTTGAAATAAGTGATATAGTAACATTTGATTTGCATGGAGTATATGCAGAATAATTATAAAAACTGGCATATGTTCATGAAATTATTTCTTATGAAATAAGCATTATATGAATATGCCAAGGAAAAAATAAGAATGTATCATTTTTGTATTGATTTAGGTAGTGGGAAATAAATTGGTAATGGCTACAGAAGTATTGGATTTGACAAGTGGCTATAATCATCTTTATTTAGGCGTATTTTGGGGTCAAAGCAGAGTGAACACCGTCCCTCATTACATCGATTTATTAGCACCTATTCCTGGGCAGATGCTGAAGAAGAAAAATGTGAACTGAAGTAGGTGAAGCTTGATGTGTTTATTAACCTGATGTGCCGGGCATAAAGAGTGGGGATCAGTTTTATTCTGTGGAGATGAGGTCAATGCTGCATCATCAAAAAGATCATTCATTGTTTAAGACTTTTGTGAACTATAAAGTACTATATAAATGTTACTTGCTAATACATTCACTCTCATAGCACTCAGTACTTCAAGGTTTGAGGTCTTAAGTTAGAAAAGAACCTGGAATTTGCCAGATATGTGAAGAGAATTTTTTTCCTGTATAGGTTTCTTGTCATCAGGGGGAAAGGTCAACGAAGAGCCACAGAAATAAAATTTTCATCTACTTAGATGAATTATTTACAACATATAATGTAATATGTAATATATGCGCATTATATATACATGTCTTCCCTTTAAGTAAATGAAGACGAGGGGAAACATAAAACTCTACATTGCTATCTCTAGCAAGTTAAACAAATAAAATATACTCCTATAATGAAAGGTAGAGGGCAAGAGGGAGGGAGAAGAAGAAATGCTGCCCCTAAATCCTTGGGTGACATTGGACAAACTGCTTAGCATTATTTGGTCTCAGTTTCCTCGTCTGTAGAGATCTTAATGAAATGATTTTATGTTGATTTTATAACACGTTCATTGCGTGCCTGTTATGTGAGACACACTACGCTCAAGCTTAAGAGGTATAAAGATGAAAAAGACATAGTTCCTACCCTCAAAGCCTTTACTTTTTCCTTAAATAATCCTGGGAGTCTAATTGCATGTACTGAACTCTTTTTAGAGTTAGAGTTAGCATAATGGATATTTTCTAATCTGGGTTAAAAAAAAATCAAGAGTTTCCTTGAAAAGATTATAATCTATTTTTAAATTTTTGTCAGTATGGTATGATTTCTACTGCAAAGTTTTCGCAAACGAAGACTGAAACCTTGAAAATCCTACAAGAATTCTGGCTTTTGGGCTTTGTTGCCTTTAAAAACCAAACTAAAATCTATCACATGCATTCCCTGTAGGTGTCTGACTGAAAAACAAAAAAACTTTGAGACACAATTCCCTTTGGCAGTTGTGAGGGGATTGTAAGTTTGGGATTTCAATATTCAAATCCAACTAGGGACTCATCAGTGAACATGAAACATGGAACATGAACATGAAACAAGTTTTGTTCAGGTAAAGGACCCCTCTTTAGATAATATGATTTTATCTAAATACAGTCAACCCATTTGCTACTTCCCAGCTCACTGACCACTAATAGTTTATTTTAGGTAGTTTTATACCAAACATATCTTCATAAACATGTTTAAAAGTATTAAGATTTTTTAGAGAAAGAAGAAATGACACTTTGACGTTATTCCACTTTAGCACTGCTCAAAAAACCTACAGAAAAAAGAGTAAAATCAATTGTTAATGAGAAAAATTTTATGATACGTTGAATGAAAAATACACGGAGAAATATAGCATCCTCATTTGCTTTTTAAAGTGTAGTTACTAATACACACACAGACACACACACACGCACATGCTGAGAAGGAAAATCACAGTAACAACAGTGGTTAATTATGAGTGGTGAGAATTGACTAACTTACACATGTGCTTTGTAAATCTCCCCTTTTTATTTGTTCTTTGGCTAGCATCCCAATTTTCTACAACAAACATTTGCTATTTTTCTAAATACAGAAAGTTACTTTAAAAAATTAAATTCCTGGGCTTCCCTGGTGGCGCAGTGGTTGAGAGTCCGCCTGCCGATGCAGGGGACACGGGTTTGTGCCCCAGTCCGGGAAGATCCCACATGCCGCGGAGCGGCTGGGCCCATGAGCCATGGCCGCGGAGCCTGCGCATCCGGAGCCTGTGCTCTGCAACAGGAGAGGCCACAACAGTGAGAGGCCCGCATAACGCAAAAAAAAAAAAAAAAAGAAAGAAAGAAAAGAAAATTGAATTCCTATAAATGGTTAAAAATATAAAGTTGGTGATTTGACTTTTAGAATTACTATTTATCAAATCTTTCTAAAGCAAAATGAATATCTGCAAGCTTCCTTAGTAATACAGGAAAATTTAGCAGTATCTTATAAATGATAATAGCACATTATCCATAGTTTAATATTTAAAAACAATATTTATTTACAGAACTAAAGATGACTCAGAACCACCTGAAGAAGAAACAGTAGAAAGGACAAGAAAGCCAAGTCTTTCTGAAAAGAAAAATAATCCATCAAAATGGGATGTCTTTTCAATGTAAGTTGTCTACTTGCTAAATGATACCATTTTGGTGGAATGGGGAAAGGTAAGGCAGGGTTAGCAGAATTAACCTTAATCAAATTACTTTACTAAAAGACCTTTCAAAATGTTAAACTTAAGATGAATAACAAACTCCATATGGTGTTTAACAATTATCCCTGAACCTATGAACTACAAGAGGCAGGTGAGTTCACAGTGTTAAGAACTTGGCCTTGGAACCAGATGGCCCAGGCTTGAATTAGCTCTCTGACTCTGTGTGACCTGGGCAAGTTCATCCATTTTTGAGCACTGATTTCTTCACCTGTAAAATAGAGATGATAATAGTACCTATGTCTTTGCTGTCATGAGTAAATGAATTAGCACATGTAAAACACATAGTTAACTATTTCAAAGACTTATATGATGCTGTAATCTTTTTTGGTGGGTGTTTCTAAAAGGAATTTTAGGGTTTCAGTACAGCAAAAGTCCAGGGTATGGTGAGAAATAAGTGACATGTTTATAAGTACATATATCTTGCTCTACCCAATGAATGACATTATTTCTTCTACCCCAGGAATATAAATTGCCTTACCTGATTGAAAAAATGAACTTAATACTCAAATGTACTTGTTAGGAGTTAAGTAATGCCTAAATCACATAATTTTCAGATTCTTACCTTAGCACATCATTTCTTTAATTCTAAAAATTATAAGGGGTGTGGGGAGCAGATTGTGGCCAAAGCCAAGAGGCTAGATCATACTATGTAGCTTATTAAGAGGGGGTGTTGGTGGAATTATGCAGCGCAGACGCATGACTTGATTATTGTTGACAAAAGGAGTGTTTCTAATAACAGATTATTGTGATTACCACATGCTGACTTTGTGTTTTCCTTGTAGTTGTAACACAATAGCTTCCTGGGCAACAAATCTCAAGACTTCCATCAGAGAGGCCAGTAAGGCACTCTGGCTTTCTGTCGCGTTCATTGTACTATTCGCGGCATTGATGAGCTTCTTCACAGGCCGATTTTTCCAGAAGTCTGTGGATGCTGCTCCCACACAGGACGGGGACTCCTGGATGTCTCTAGAACATATCTTGTGGCCATTTACCAGACTCCAACACAATGGGCCACCGCCAGTGTGACTGCAGCACATCCTAATGTGCTAATGCTAATCTTGATTTTTAAAGTTTCAGTATCTGAACTTTGTAAATTAGTAACTTTTAGCTGGGAAATTATAGCATGGAACCAGAGGTTCTCAGAATGACTGTAAGATATTTTATATTCCCTCTTTTGGTGATTACCTTCCTAACTAAAATACAATGGGGAGGAAGCCCACCTATATGATTTTTTTTAATGAGCTTTTTGAGGAGGAGATATTATTGTTTGTTAAAATTTATTGAAATAAAGAACCATTCAAATTTTCATACAGTGAATGTTGGAAGTCTCAGTAGGTCACATATGCATAAGGAAAAAAACCCTAATTCTTAGAAAGTAAAATTTGAGTGTAAAATGCTGATTAGATCATTTTAACAGCCTATTTGGCATATATCCACTCATTACACTTTATTGTAGAAATACCGGATTTTTCTCCAAGTTGCTTCATTCTTCATACTGAATAAAATTTATCAGTGGGGATTAAGAATAGCTGAGTAATCTAGTTGAGAGTAGCATGTGGCATACAGAGTCAACAAACTGGCAGCTGGAACACCTAACTTTCTTCATTGCTTCTTTAGAAGCAAAATCCTTAACCATGTGATATAAAGTAGAATGAAACTCAGTTTCTTCTTTAAGGGCTTCAGAGAATGCATCACTGGATTCATTGATTTTGAGGCTTTGTGCCCTGTCACCATTAAACATTAAAAGGGTCCAATTAGGATTCTGAATGGGTTCTTCTTTAGGAAGGTGTTCCCTCACCTAAAGAAAAAGAAAGAAAAATATGTTAATAGTTCCTCTTTTATTGGGTATTTTGACAGTAGAGTATTTTATTTGAAGGGCTCAGTTGAGTTCCCTGAATTGCTAAGATAAAAAGAAACAGTCTTAATGTCCCATTTTTTTTTAAAGCATGAAACTGTTTATATCTTGGTGTTTATGGAACTTATCAAAATGTATTAATTCCTTAAAAATATTTATTGAATGGCTTCAAGTGTCAGGTACTCTTCTAGGTGCTGGGGATAAAACAACAGCAAAGAAAAAAATAACTAAACGTATTAATAAGTAACAACTGCAACAATAAAAACCTTGTCTTCAAGGAGCGTATATTGTAATAGGAGAAACACACAATAAACAAGATAAATAAATATGGTGGCTCATTTATGCTAAAATATTCATCAGTCATCGTGTAGAATATGATAAGATACATTCTTTATCAGGCAGTAGGAAATGTGCCAGAAAGTTAAACTGGAGGCCTAACCCTCTCAGAGGAGAAAGTCTGTGAATCATAGATGATATATTCACGTGAAAGGCTGACATTTGTTCTTCAGTTGATGTAAAGAGAGATAAGGTCTCTAAGCCTGAAATCAAGAGCATTTGATACCATAATGGACAATGAAAGTATAACCTTTACCTCGTTTGGTTTTATTTATTTATTTTTTTTGTGCGGTACTTGGGCCTCTCACTGTTGTGGCCTCTCCTGTTGCGGAGCACAGGCTCTGGACGCGCAGGCTCAGCGGCCATGGCTCACGGGCCCAGCCGCTCCGCGGCATGTGGGATCTTCCCGGACCGGGGCACGAACCTGCGTCCCCTGCATCGGCAGGCGGACTCTCAACCACTGCGCCACCAGGGAAGCCCTGGTTTTATATTTTTGACAAAATTAAAGAAAATGAAGTTGTAAAACTCCATTTTGAATGTTAATCTTTTTCACCTTTTTAAAAGGAGAAACCATGGTCTACATTCATTTAGCTTTTGAGTATCTTCTTTTGGAGCACAAAATAGTTTAATGGGGTTTTTGCATACTATACCTGAAATACAACTTTGTCAGAATTGCATACTGTATTCCACTTGCTCCAACCAAACGCAAAAGCAGAACTTAACAGGGCCATTTGTCGATAAGCTTTCACTTCTACCAAAGGAAGCTGTCAATATACAAACAAATAGAGTTGATCGTAGAGCCTCTCTAGTCTCCCTTCCATCCTTGGCCCCCTACAGTCTGGTCTGGTCTCAACACAGATCCATTTAAATGTAAGTCAGCTGAAGTTAATCAGACAGAGAAGACAAATATCATATGATATCACTTATAAGTGGAATCTAAAAAAATGGTACAAATGAACTTACTTACCAAACAGAAATAGAATCACAGATGTAGAAAACAAAATTATGGTTAACAAGGGAGGAAAAGTGGGGGGGGGGATAAACTGGGAGATTGGGATTGACATATACATACTACTATATATAAAATAGATAACTAATAAGGACCTACTGTACAGCACAGGGAACTCTACTCAATACTCTGTAATGGCCTATATGGAAAAAGAATCTAAAACAGAGTGAATATATGTATATATGTATAACTGACTCACTTTGCTGTACAGCAGAAACACAACATTGTAAATCAACTATAATCCAATAAAAATTTTAAAAAACTATTAAAAAATAAATTAAAATTCAAATATTAAAAAAATAAAATAAAATGGAAGATTACATGACTTCTTTCTCAAAACGGGGCAATGGCTTCCCTTTTCAGAGTAGAATCCAAAGTCCTAACAATGCTCCACAAGGGCCTCTGTGGTCTGACATCCCCCATACACCCCATTATCTCTCTGACCTTATCCCCTGTTCTTCTCCCTTTGCTCTCTCGGCACCCCGGCCTCCTTGCTGTCCCTCCCATCCTCAAACACATCAGGCCACACCCTCTGGGCTCTTTCCCCAGGTCTTCTCTCCACCTGGAAGCTGATATCCTTCCAGAGATATCAACTTGGCTAAATTCCCCACCTTGAAGCATTGCTCAAATCTTGTCTCCTTATTGAACCCCTCTCCCCCTACACCCTATTTGGTATTGTAACTTTACTTTTCCATACCACTTAGCACCTTTTGACATATAAGATAATTTTGTTTATTATGTTTGTTGTTTATTTTTGCCTCCCTCAACTAGAATGTAAGCTCCACAAGGGCAGGGACCTGTGTTTTATTCACTGTTTCCTAAGCATCTAAAACAATGTCTAGAATATAGGTGTTCAGGAAAAAAAAAGTCTTGAGTATAATATTCTGAAAAGATGACTAGTATATGACATTCAGCATTTGTAGAGTAACTGGCAATTTGAGTTACTAAAACTAAGGTTGGTTTTTTTTCCCTACGCATATATGTATGCACTCTTATTGACAGGATTATTTTCAAATGTTGTGTCTACCTATATTGCCATTTTCTGGTATATTATAAACTTGTTCTTGAGTATAGAACTCTTCTGCCCAAAACACCTTTCATGATTAGAAGCCACCCCGTCTTCATTCATGCATCATAAATATTTGCTAAACATCTACTGTATTCTAGGAATAGGCTTGGTGCTAGAAGAATCAAAGCTGATTAAGAAACAGCCGCCCCCCTCAAGGAGCTCGCAGTTTAACATGGAAGGATCTCATTTAACTAAACTTATGCGTCATATGAAGCTGTACGTAGACAGGGAGGCTCTGTCGAGAAATAGAAGGAAGTGGGTTTGGTGGTCCTTGTATGTCTAATTTTGCCTGACTTATCATATTTGGGAAACTGCTGAGTCATTTACTCTTTTAAGAAATCTTACATGTATCCAGTCTGGAAGGAGAAAGAAAGCATAGGAAATGCGAAGTTGCTCAGACTCTACCTTTGCACTAAACTGACCAGCTGTGGTTACGCTCCATGTGTCATTATGAAGATCATACAATAGATTATTAAATTTGAGAGAACCCTGGATTTCTGGTCATGCTATTTATTCCTTCCTTTCTAACTATAATCTTATATAAGTGAATATAGAAAACCATTGGTGTACCTTAAGATTTATATAAAATTTAATACTTGCTAACATTCTAAATGTCCAGCACATCAAATTTGGAAAGATTCATTCTTACCTTATAGTTTATAACAACATAAAAGTGAGAGTGTCCAGTAGGGAAGATATTCAGTCCAGCTTCTTTCAAAGCAATAATGAAAGAAACAGGAGTCATCCACTTTTCTTCCAAAATAGAGGAATGCTTTTGGTTATTTAGTTTGATGGATGCTAACATGCAGAGGTTTTCCTAGTTTCAATAAGAAAAAAGAAGCTTTTATACAAGTTAAAGAAACTATTACCTCATTATCATTTTAGGTCCAGCTGTTTTAGGTTCTTTACACTATTAAAACAAAATCCTATATTAAAAAGAATGCAGGACAGATATGTTTTAGGCCTGACCCAAAAGCTCCACTGCAAAGTCTCCACGTTACCTTAAGCAGTTTATCAACTCTTCTTGGGCTCATCTGAGCAATCCAGGGACTGAACTGAAGGATCTCTCAGGTCTCCTACTTTATAAATTATGATCTATGAATACTACATGTGTTCATATTGATATATAATAGCTATTTGACAGCAATCATGTTGCAACTTTTAAGGATCATAATTTTTTATACATATATAATAAAATTTTAACATAATAATGCAAAATTATTATCCAGTTTTAAAGTTTGCAAAGTGGCGGGACTTCCCTGGTGGTCCAGTGGTTAAGACTTCATGCTCCCAATGCAGGGGTCCCGGGTTCAATCCCTGGTCAGGGAACTAAGATCCCACATGCTGCAACTACTGAGCCCTCATGCTCTAGAGCCCACGTGCTGCAACTAGAGAGCCTGTGCACCAAACTACTGAAACTGCCTCAATGAAGACCCAGCATGGCCACAGTAAATAAATAAATAAATTTATTTATTTTAAAAAATGTCTGCGAAGTGGCAATTTGAAGGTGTACAGAGTTCACATCTCTCATCTGACTTTAAAAGCCAAATTTGATGATATTCTAGCCTTCCTGCCACAGTCATAAGGAATTTCATGTTATCTCTTTTTTTCTCTCTCTCTCTCTTTTTAAAACAACTTTCATGAGGTGTATCTTACATATCATAAAATTCACCCAAGTGCACAGTCCAGTGATTTTTTGGGGTAACTTTACTGAGTGGTGCAACTATCACCATAAATCAGTTTTACAGCATTTTCATTCCTCCAATAAAATCCCTTATGTCCATTTACAGTTAATCCTCATTCCCACCCTCAGCCTCAGGCAACCACTAAATCTACTTTTTGTGTAATTTCTGAGTGACGAGCAATGGAGGCACTCAAAAGGGATTTCAAATGGCTAGGTGATAAGATCAGGAAGCCTCTTTAGAGTGGATCAAAAACTCTGAAAGTCATACTGCAACCAGGCTTATATCTTCACCAATTGTTCTATTCCTAGTAACTTTAGGGTACAAATTTGTACTTTACTTATTACATGCTATTTC